AATGCTTTTTATTAAGTTTTCATTTTAAATACACCAACACCAACAAACCAAAAACATCAAGTCTTTTTACATGTATCCTACTTTATGCTCCGTAGAGCCGTTGACTTTCCTCCTTCCCTTCTGCAGGTTTTCTTATTCCAATCTTTAATTCACAGTTTCATTAATAAAATTCTAAACCATGACATAAGGTTTATTTCAGTCCTGCTAACGTCTTCAAATTTCTACAGTTCTCACTTATATAAACCATAAATTTACTCCATTCTTTTTGGTACTTTGTCTCCTCCTGACTGCGAATTCTATGTGTCAGTTTTGCTAGTTCTGCATACTCGAAATTTTCTTCTCTAACTTTGAGTTGCTGTAATTGCTTAATTCCCCTTAAATACTAAAATACTAAATACTAAAATTAAGAAACACACAGAGAATTGAATTGAAATTCTGTTGACCTATTTGCCAAAGGAAACAATAATTCATGCATGAGTCTCAAATTTGTAAAGCCCTACATATTTTAGCTTCAATTATACCAGACTTTCTTATAAACAGGCTGCTCACATAACGTGTCCTACATTGGGGATTAAGTCCTGGAAGTCAGTGAGCAAAATTTTCTCGTGTATGGATTATGTTAGGTCTTTCTGTCCTCATGTTTTCTCTTTCCTTCAGCCCTTTCCACCTATTTAAAATTGCTCCAAGCTTCAAGACTTACCCTCCTACTGAACACATTTTTCATTAAGTACAGCAGAAACCCTTCTCAGTCCCCTCCTAAATCCTTTTGAAATCTGCAGAAGTAGCAATCTTGATTAGCTTTGTATTCAAAGCTTCCTTCCTGAGAGGACAGTCAAAATGTGTATGATTGCTTAAACCTTAGATGAGCTAAATGTAACATTCAATAACTTCATCAAATAAAACTCTGAATTTGACAGCAGAAATACCAGTCTTCACAGTTCAGTATTTTTTTGCAAATGGCACATGGCCTGCATATATCAGATTTGTACAAAAGAATTGAATTTTTTTTTGTGTGTATGTGTTTTAGGAAAAGGCCATTTCATTTGCTTTGTTTGCTTTTCTGAAATAGTAACTGTATTTAAAGTAAATGATAAATGAATTGTGATTTTAAAACATTATTTGACATGTTATGCAGTAAACATAAGAACTTCTGTGGATACATGAGCAAGAAGTATTGATAAAAATTCTCCGTTCCTGCAGTTGTGCAGTGGATTCCATGGGACTGGCGTAGTCCTTAATTTTCTTTGTTTGCATATTTCTTTGAATGTGCATGGTCTCAAATGGTAATTGAGAAAAACAGACAGTGCAATTTTTATTCACTCCAGTTCTAAGTCATTGTAGTGCCAGAAAAAAATATTTCAAAAGCAGACACACTTAGAACCTTATCGGTTTCCAGCAGCAGAATCAATGTTGATCCAAATTATGAAAGTTATATTAGTTTTTTATACTAGCGAAGTACAGTCCAGCACTTACTGCATTTATTTTTCACTCTTTGGTGAAATACTTTTCTACAAAGAGATGATACTGATGATGATTTCACTTTTTATTTGCTGATGGAAAATGTAAAGGTCTTGCCTGCAGGATGTTCTTTGATGCATTGAACGTTTTCCAAATAATTGTTTTTACTGGTATAGCTTCATGACACAGGAGTGCATACAGCTGAGATCCATATCCAAACATTGCTGCAACAGGAATGCGATCATACTAAAATTCTGAAAACTTAAGTAGAGGAATCCAATTTGTGAACCTCTTCTTCATGTTATGCATCTATGAGAAAATGTAGTCGTCCCTCTCTTTAGAAGCAGTCTTCTTCTATGAGAGAGGAGACAGAATGCAATATATATGTGGAAGCCAGGATGATTCAAAGCTGAATACTGATGTTCAGCAGACTAATATAATGTTTCCATATGTCCCTAATTTCCCGGACATAGCCTGGATTTGGCCGTTGTAAACAGTGTCCGGGCGGAAAGTGCTGATGTGTCCAGACGTATGCCAACCCATGTTGGAAGTGTAGATTTTGGTGATTTTTTTGAGAAATAGCTCAGAAACATATGAGTGTTTTTGGGTGGTTTTTGTTTTTGTTTAGATTTAGCAAAAAAAGCTCTTTCGGCAAACTAAACTAAAAACTAACTGAAAAGCTCAGCAAAGTTTGTGTCCAGATTTTCACTTTTTGAAATATGGCAACTAATAGACCAATGAAAAGATTGCGCAAATGCATCTTAAAATTTCTGTGGTTGCTCTTGAGCTTGCAGGGCAGCAGCTGAAGAAGGAGCAAAAAGGGTTTTCTTGTGTGTGCGTTTCTTTGTGGCTGATTAGCTGCTCTCCCTGTGCAAAGGTCAGAGGGGGCAGGGTTTCTGTTGAGGCAGGTGATTAGCTGTGGGAGGAGCTTATCAGAGCTTGCAGGGCAGCAGCTGAAGAAGGAGCAAAAAGGATTTTCTTGTGTGTGTGTTTCTTTGTGTTAGACAGGGAATTCCTGGGCTGCCTGGCCCACGAAACCATAGAGACCCACTGAGGGCCCATTGAGGGTCATTGCCAGTGCAAGAGGACTTCTCCCCTGCCCTGGGGTGTGAAGAGAGACAGGGGTTTCTGAGACGAAGAAGGAGGGAGACGGGCTGAGATCCATCTTTGGAGGGTCTGACTGCAGGCAGGTTTGCTGCTCCCTCTTGGAATGACTATGCCTTAAGATCTGGACTCCCTCCAGGCAGACTTAAGGTGTAAAGAGGTGAATAAAGCATATTTCTCAAAGCCTGACAGTCTCTGCTGTGTCTTCTATTCTCCAAAGGGACACAGACCCCATGGGTTCTTGCAACCGATTGGCAGAAAGAGGGGCAGGCACCCAGCTTTTGTAGCCATATTGAAACCTCTACAGTCATCCTTTTAAAAGGTCTTTGTTTCCAGGACTGGATTGTTCTTGCTCAAGAATGTATTTGAATCAGTGACTAATTTCACTGATTCAACATATTTCCTAGGAATTAAATCTGATTGAACTCCATAGGGTTGACTTCTGATCAGATATGCAGAGGATTGATCAGAGCTTGCAGGGCAGCGGCGCACGCAGTTTGATCCATCTTTTTAGATTTCGGGGAGCTAGTCTAAAACGTTTGTTGGGGGAGACCTAGGTTTTTTTGGGGGGGGGGAGTTATTTGTCCTGTCTTCACGCTTTTTATGATGGAGGACCGCTGTAGCCACCCCCAACGACACGTTCTCACGAGGGAGGGGAGGGAACAGCTGCAGTCGCCTGCAGTTCCTGCGCAATGTTTGCCATCTTGCCAAAGGTTGCAGGCAGCTTTACCTGCAGCAATTGCATGTTGATTGCCCTCTTAAAAGACAAAGTCCAGCAACTGGAGGAACGTGTAGCTACGCTCCAAAGAATTAGAGAGCTGGAGCTCTTCTTGGAAGAAACAGAGCACACCGTCTCCACCAAGGAGGAGACAGGGAACTCCCCTGAGAAGGAGGCTAGTTCACCAACACAGGAGCCAGATATATGGAGAAACGTGACTCAAAGAAGTAGGAGGCGCAGGGTTCGCTCTGAGTGTTTAGAAATACACAATCACTTTGAGGTCCTCTCCCCTAGCATGGAAGACGAAGAGCAGACTCCATTTGAGGATCTCTCCCTCATTACAGTCGATCAGGTATAGGAAGACGAGCAGCAAAGTCAGTCATCAGGGAATGTGCAGGCAACCTTGGAACGGACAGCTCACGGAAGAACCCCGACCAAACCTAAGAGGAGGCGTGTAGTGGTGATAGGGGATTCCCTACTGAGGGGAACAGAAGCAGTGATCTGTGGGCCTGACAAGATGTCTCGGGAAGTGTGCTGTCTCCCCGGGGCTAAGATCAATAATGTAACTGAACGACTGCAAGGAATCATAAAACCCACTGACAAATACCCCTTCCTCTTGGTTCATGTGGGAACCAATGACACTGCAAGCAATAGCCTCCAGAAGATCAAAAGAGACTACGAGGCTCTGGGCAGGAAATTGAAGTAATTAAATGCACAAATTGTCATCTCATCTGTCCTCCCAGTTGAACGACGTGGCCCAGGGAGAGAGGGAAAAATAGTGGAAGTGAACAGCTGGCTTCGCAAATGGTGTAAACAGGAACGGTTTGGATTCTTAGATCACGGACTGCAGTTTCTTGAAGATGGACTTCTGGCAAGCGATGGGCTGCACCTCACAACGGTTGGGAGGAATGTTTTTGCCAAAAATCTCAGAAACCTCATCAGGAGGGCTTTAAACTGACTAATGTGGGGGAGGGAGACAGTGCTCCTGAAGGTAGGAGTCTATCAATTGATGAAGATGATCATCCAAATGCCATAGACCAAATGGAGCAAACAGCACGCAGACCTAGTGGTGGGAGGAAAAAATCCTTAAATAAGAGACACGGGGGAATGATTAATGGACTTCAATGTCTGTACACTAATGCGCAAAAGCATGGGAAATAAACAAGATGAGCTTGAGCTCTTGGTACAGCAAACTAAATATGACATAATAGGCATCACTGAAACCTGGTGGGATAAGTCCCACTATTGGAATGTAATAATGGAGGGATACAATCTATTTCAGAGAAACAGACCAGACAAGAAAGGAGGAGGAGTGGCGTTATATGTCAGGGATGTGTATACCTGTGAAGAGATCCAAGATTTAGAACCTCAAAGCCAAAGTGAAAGCATTTGGGTCAAAATTAAGGGAGAGAAGAATAACAGTGACCTCATTGTGGGAGTTTACTATAGATCCCCAAGCCAAACGGAGGACATAGATTATGCCTTCCTGGAACAGATGGCCAAGCATGCAAAAGGAATGGAGATAGTAGTAATGGGGGACTTCAATTACCCAGATATTTGTTGGATGTCAAACTCAGCCAAGAGCATAAGGTCAAACAGATTCCTCACTGGCCTTGCAGACAACTTCATTGTCCAGAAAGTGGGAGAAGCAACAAGAGGAACAGCCATTTTAGATCTGGTCCTAACCAATGTTGATGACCTGGTTAGTGGAAGGATCATTAGGCGCGAGTGATCATGCTCTTCTGAAGTTTACTATACAGCGGAAAGGAGCAGCCAAGCATACTAGGACTCAATTTCTTGACTTTAAGAAAGCCGACTTCATAAAACTTAGGGAAGTGCTGGGTGAGATCCCATGGACAGTAATACTAAAAGGAAAGGGAGTTCATGATGGCTGGGAGTTTGTTAAGAGGGAGATACTAAAAGCACAACGTCAGGCAATACCAATGAGACAGAAACATGGAAGGTGCCTAAAGAAGCCAGGGTGGCTATCTAGAATGTTGCCTAGAATGTTGTTTTTGTTCCAAACTTTGCAGATTGTGGACAAAATGGATTGTTTCAAGAGGTGGCAGAAAGATATTTCTAAATTTGTCTGGCAGGGCAAGAAGCCCAGAATAAAATTTAAAATTTTAACGGATGCAAAGGAAAGAGGTGGATTTGCCCTGCCAGACCTGAAACTTTACTATGAATCAGCAGCTTTTTGCTGGTTGAAAGAATGGCTACTTCTTGAAAACACTGACATTTTGGACTTGGAAGGTTTCAATAATGTATTTGGATGGCATGCATATTTATGGTATGATAAGGTCAAAGCACATAAAGCGTTTAGAAACCACATTGTCAGGAAAGCGCTATTTAATGTTTGGTTAAGATATAAGGATCTGTTAGAAAACAAAACCCCAAGGTGGCTGTCACCAATGGAAGCTAAAGCCTTGAAAAAGGTCAATATGGAGGTCAAATGGCCGAAATATTGGGAAATTTTGGAACAAGATGGAGATAGACTGAAATTGCAGAGTTTTGAAAAACTAAAAAACAAAGTGCGAGACTGGCTTCATTATTATCAGATAATGGAGGTATTTAAATTGGACAGGAAAATTGGCTTCCAGGTGGAAAGATCAAAATTAGAAACAGAATTGTTAGAACCCAATACTGAGAATTTGTCAAGAATGTATAACTTGCTGCTGAAATGGAATACTCAGGATGAAACGGTAAAATCGGCTATGATTAAATGGGCACAGGACATGTTTGCTGACTGGGAACAGTTGTGGACCACAGGTATGAAATTTACGGCATGTAATGCCTTAAGAGAGAATATTATGAAAATGATATACAGGTGGTACATAACCCCAGTCAAGCTTGCAAAAATCTACCATTTGCCCGATAATAAATGTTGGAAATGTAAAGAAACCGAAGGTACATTTTTTCACCTTTGGTGGACGTGCCCAAAGATTAAGGCTTTCTGGGAAATGATATATAATGAATTAAAAAAGGTATTTAAGTATACCTTCCCTAAGAAACCAGAGGCCTTCCTCCTGGGCATAGTCGGCCAAATGGTGGTAAAATAGGATAGAACTTTCTTTATGTATGCAACAACAGCAGCAAGAATACTTATCGCAAAGTATTGGAAGACACAAGAACTTCCCACACTGGAGGAATGGCAGATGAAACTTATGGACTATATGGAATTGGCGGAAATGACTGGTAGAATCCGTGACCAGGGAGAAGAGTCGATGGAGGAAGACTGGAAGAAATTCAAAGACTATCTTCAGAAACATTGCAAAATTAAGGAATGGTAAAGTGATGTTGGACTGAAAATAAGTGGTTTCCAGCTGCACAGGTTAAAGTTAATGATAGATTAAGATTAAAGATCAAGATTAAAGATGTTTAAAGAAATGGAAATTTGATATTAAAAGGGAAAATTTTAACGTTATATGATATTAAGATCAAGGATTAGGTTTAAAGAAGTTGAAGTTATATATTTTAACATTTTATTAAATTAAAGATTGGGATTAAAAAGTGGAAAAGAAACTGCTGGACAAATAATTTGGATTGGAATACAAAAGAGGGAGGTATGAGGAAGTCCAGAAAATAAGTAATCTAAAAATGGAAATGGAAAAGAGAGTTTGTTTTTAATTGTTATGTTTTTTGTTTTTTATTGTTGAGTTTTGTATTGCTTTTTGTATGTGTTGTTTTTTTGTTGTTTAAAACTTTAATAAAAATTATTATAAAAAAAAAGAAAAGAAAGAAAGCCGACTTCATAAAACTTAGGGAAGTGCTGGGTGAGATCCCATGGACAGTAAAACTAAAAGGAAAGGGAGTTCATGATGGCTGGGAGTTTGTTAAGAGGGAGATAGTAAAAGTACAACTTCAGGCAATACCAGTGAGACGGAAACATGGAAGGTGCCTAAAGAAGCCAGGGTGGCTATCTAAAGAACTTTTAACTGAGTTAAGATTAAAAAAGGATGTGTACAAAAAATGGAAAAGGGGAGAAACCACCAAAGAGGAATTCAAACAAATAGCCAGCACGTGTAGACACAAAGTCAGAAAAGCTAAAGCACAGAATGAACTCAGGCTTGCTAGAGAGGTTAAAAGCAACAAAAAAGGCTTTTAGGGGTATGTTCGTAGCAAAAGGAAGAACAAAGAAACAGTGGGGTCACTCAGAGGAGAAGATGGTGAAATGCAAACAGAGGACACAGAAAGGGCTGAACTCCTCAATACCTTCTTTGCCTCAGTCTTCTCCGATAAAGAAAACAATGCCTGACCTGAAGAATTTGGAGCAAATGATTCAGCAGAGGAAACACAGCCCAGAATAACTAAGGAGATAGTACAAGAATACTTGGCTAGTCTAGATGTATTCAAGTCTCCAGGGCCAGATGAACTGCATCCAAGAGTATTAAAAGAATTGGCAGATGTGATCTCAGAACCACTGGCAGTCATCTTTGAGAATTCCTGGAGAACAGGCGAAGTCCCGGCAGACTGGAGGAGGGCAAATGTTGTTCCTATTTTCAAAAAGGGGGAAAGAGAGGACCCAAATAATTACTGCCCAGTCAGTCTGACATCAATACCAGGGAAGATTCTGGAGCAGATCATTAAGCAAACAGTCTGTGAGCACTAGAAAGGAATGCTGTGATCACCAATAGTCAGCATGGATTTCTGAAAAATAAGTCATGTCAGACTAACCTGATCTCGTTTTTTGACAGAATTACAAGCCTGGTAGATGAAGGGAATGCAGTGGATGCAGCCTACCTTGATTTCAGCAAGGCATCTGACAAGGTGCCCCATGATATTCTTGTAAAGAAGCTGGTAAAATGTGGTCTTGACTATGTTACCACTCAGTGGATTTGTAACTGGCTGACTGACCGAACCCAAAGGGTGCTCATCAATGGTTCCTCTTCATCCTGGAGAAGAGTGACTAGTGGGGTGCCACAGGGTTCTGTCTTGGGCCCGGTCTTATTCAACATCTTTATCAACGACTTGGATGATGGACTCAAGGGCATCCTGATCAAATTTGCAGATGACACCAAACTGGGAGGGGTGGCTAACACCCCACAGGACAGGATCACACTTCAAAACGACCTTGACAGATTAGAGAACTGGGCCAAAACAAACAAGATGAATTTGAACAGGGAGAAATGTAAAGTATTGCACTTGGGCAAAAAAAATGAGAGGCACAAATACAAGATGGGGACACCTGGCTTGAGAGCAGTACATGTGAAAAGGATCTAGGAGTCTTGGTTGACCACAAACTTGACATGAGCCAACAGTGTGAAGCGGCAGCTAAAAAAGCCAATGCAATTCTGGGCTGCATCAATAGGAGTATAGCATCTAGATCAAGGGAAGTAATAGTGCCACTGTATTCTGCTCTGGTCAGACCTCACCTGGAGTACTGTGTCCAGTTCTGGGTACCACAGTTCAAGAAGGACACTGACAAACTGGAACGTGTCCAGAGGAGGGCAACCAAAATGGTAAAAGGCCTGGAAACGATGCCTTATGAGGAATGGCTAAAGGAGCTGGGCATGTTTAGCTTGGAGAAGAGGAGGTTAAGGGGTGATATGATAGCCACATTCAAATATATAAAAGGATGTCACATAGAGGAGGGAGAAAGGTTGTTTTCTGCTGCTCCAGAGAAGCGGACACGGCGCAATGGATCCAAACTACAAGAAAGAAGATTCCACCTAAACATTAGGAAGAACTTCCTGACGGTAAGAGCTGTTTGACAGTGGAATTTGCTGCCAAGGAGTGTGGTGGAGTCTCCTTCTTTGGAGGTCTTTAAGCAGAGGCTTGACAACCATATGCCAGGAGTGCTCTGATGGTGTTTCCTGCTTGGCAGGGGGTTGGACTCGATGGCCCTTGTGGTCTCTTCCACCTCTATGATTTTATGATTCTTATGTGTAAAAGCCAGAGACCTGCTTTAAAACACTCATTAGCCACATAAGGGAAGAAGGAGGAGTGAATAGAAAAGGTGATGGGAGATCAGTTCAGGACTGCTAGTATGAGAGGTGAATTCGTAGCAGGCTTATTAATAAGGTTTGCTCTTCTTTGCTTGTGTTGTTATTGGAAAGGAGGGATGGAATGAAAGCTTGCAGCATTCCTTTGTCCACCAGGTAGTGACATCTCCCATACCCACAGGACAATATGGATATATTGTCAGTGTGCAATGTGTGCACCCATTCCCCAAAATGCTCTCTCATACCCTCCAACAATTCTTCGAAGAAAATAGGGATGTCCTATTCAACAACAAGCATCTTAAAAAGCAGAGACATCACCTTGCCAACAAAGGTCCGTATAGTTAAAGCCATGGTTTTCCTAGAAGTGATGTATGGAAGTGAGAGCTGGACCATAAAGAAGGCTGATTGCCAAAGAATTGATGCTTTTGAATTATGGTGCTGGAGGAGACTCTTGAGAGTCCCACGGACTGCAAGAAGATCAAACGTATCCATTCTTAAGGAAATCAGCCCTGAGTGCTCACTGGAAGGACAGATTGTGAAGCTGAGGCTCCAATACTTTGGCCACCTCATGAGAAGAGAAGACTCCCTGGAAAAGACCCTGATGTTGGGAAAGATGGAGGGCACAAGAGGAAGGGGACGACAGAGGACGAGATGGTTGGACAGTGTTCTCGAAGCTACAAACACGAGTGTGACTAAACTTCTACTTCTACTTCATTGGCTACGCAAAAGCTTTTGACTGTCGGCCACAGCAAACTATGGGAAGTTCTTAAAGAAATGGGAGTGCCTGATCACTTCTGTCTCCTGAGAACTCTCTATGTGGGACAAGAAGCTACAGTTAGAACTGGATATGGAACAACTGATTGGTTCAAAATTAGAAAAGGAGTACAACAAGGCTGTGTATTGTCTCCCTGCTTATTTAACATATGCAGAATTCATCATGCGAAAGGCTGGGCTGGATGAATCCCTAGCCGGAATTAAGATTGCTGGAAGAAATATCAACAACCTCAGATATGCAGATGACACAACCTTGATGGCAGAAAGTGAGAGGGAATTAAGGAACCTTTTATTGAGGGTGAAAGAGGAGAGCGCAAAATATGGTCTGAAGCTCAACATCAAAACCCCCCAAAAAACTAAGATCATGGCCACTGGTCCCATTACCTCCTGACAAATAGAAGGGGAAGAAATGGAGGCAGTGAGAGATTTTACTTTTGTGGGTTCCATGATCACTGCAGATGGTGACAGCAGTCACGAAATTAAAAGACACCTGATTCTTGGGAGAAAAGCAATGACAAACCTAGACAGCATCTTAAAAAGCAGAGACATCACCCTGCTGACAAAGGTCTGTTTAGTTAAAGCTATGGTTTTCCCAGTAGTGATGTATGGAAGTGAGAGCTGGACCATAAAGAAGATTGATCGCCGAAGAATTGATGCTTTTGAATTGTGGTGCTGGAGGAGACTCTTGAGAGTCCCATGGACTGTAAGAAGATCAAACCTCTCCATTCTTAAGGAAATCAGTCTTGAGTGCTCACTGGAAGGACAGATCCTGAAACTGAGGCTCCAATACTTTGGCCACCTCATGAGAAGAGAAGACTCCCTGGAAAAGTCCCTGATGTTGAGAAAGACTGAGGGCACAAGGAGAAAGGGACAACAGAGGACGAGATGGTTGGACAGTATTCTTGAAGCTACTAACACGAGTGTGACTAAACAGCGGGAGGCAGTGGAAGACAGGAGTGCCTGGTGTGCACTGGTCCATGGGGTCACGAAGAGTCGGACACGACTAAACGACTAAACAACAACAACAACATTCAACAACAACAACAACAACAACAACAACAACAAAAACAAGATATTGACACTTCTCCCATTTGAGTGGGTTGCCCCAGCCACTTTGGGCAGCTTCAAACATATATAAAAACAAGAGACAAGATGGCGACGGAGATAGCAGCATAGTCAGGTTCGCCTGCCTTCAATTAAGATTTTAAGTAGTTTTTTTAGCCTTCCTGGACTCTAATTTTATAGTTTTAATGATTTATTGGCTGACTTATCACCTCACCACTGCCCCTGTTTTTCTTAGCTAACGTTTTATTGTTTTACTGTTTTACTGGCGACGTTGATAAACTGCTGGTTCTCTAAACGCCTCGCTGAAGAGAGGGGCAACAAAACACCTCTCCAAGCGCAACTATAATAGAGGGAGAGGAAGAGAGAGGAAGAGAGAGTACTGAGCTCTATTTACACTTTGGAATTCCACGCAGCTGGCGGGGTACAGCGGGGGCAGTAAATTAATGTTAACATCACCGGAGGGCTTTCAACGCCGTCGGGGAGTATCACTACATAGTCTCTTCGGCAAGTAAGATGGCGGTTCAAGCCAGATTGGATTTCATCGCTCTCCTCCCCTTAACGTTTCATCTGCCACGGTCGTTGTAAGTAATGCCGCTGTAAAAATCTATTTTATCTATCCCCCTCTATCTCTGACCGCTAGATTGTGAACTGTCAGAAAGTCTGGCACGCAGTGGACCACAGCCACTTCTAATTAATTAACTAGACGTGGAGCTTCTGGGGAGAGCGTTATTTAACGAGAGGAGTGCTAATTCCAGCTTGTCTAACTGGGACTAAGCGGTGCTATCTTCACATCCACATATCCCACATAGCTCCATATACTCTACGGAGATGGTGCTCACCAGACAGAAATGTAAAGTTCTGGGGATCTCCCCAACGCAGAGGGTTGAATCACCATCAGTAACCTCGCAGACGAAAATTTCGCATTATTTTAAGCCTAAAACAAAAACGCCCATAGGCTCCAAGTCCCCACTTCTCCTCGATTGGTCTATTGACCGAACATGGTATGGGAAGGAACCTGATATTGATGAGGAGAGAGAGGGGATCAGTCTGGCAATGGAGATGGCTCAGATAGTCTCCCAATCTAGTGCTACCGACACTCCCGTAGAACATGATCAAGAACGAAATTTGAAACGCCTGGAAGTCACACTAGATGGATCAGTCAATGCAGCCAGCCCCAGCGAAAAGGCTAGGATGGAATCCTCAAGTGCTACGAGAACAGAGGAAAATCCAAGTCAGCTAAAAGGAGCCTGCTGGGACACAGATAGCAATACCTGCATCCTGATTGGGCTTTTCAATGAAATGATGAAAGAATGCCAAATGCACATAAGTAAAGAATTAGGACCAATCAGGAACTTTCTTACGGAATGTGTGGGTTTGCTAGTAAGCCTGACAGAGCTCATCAGGAAGGGAGCAATCTCACCCCCCCCCACTCCAGCGGCTGAAATTCCAACAGAGCCCAGTATCTCAGAGAAGGTCCCAGAGAGAGCCACTCCCATGTCTACCAACAGTTGAGTCACACACTCCTCATCTAAAAAGAAGCATCGCCACCAAAGAATACACCCACTTCACAAGAAGAAGTCTAAAAACATAAAAGTGGGAAGGCGGACTAAGAGTCATACACGAACTAAGAAATTGAATTTTTCTAAGTTATTCAAGCTCCTGGAGAATCCTGCAATAAAGGAATCAAATACAAAGAATACTAAACCCGTGACCCCAAAACAGAGCATTATCCAGCAACCCAAAGTGACGTGCATCACAATCCCCTAGCCCTCAACCAACGAAAGATCGGAACGAACAAATAGATAAAGACTGGCAAACCTCCTCTGCTACTGTGGTGACTAACATCCCCATTCACAACAAGATAACTCAGAACAATCAAACGCTGATCCTCAACAGAAGCAGATTGGTTATTTGCCCTATGTACAACCGTACAGAATTACATTCACTGGTCCAACAAAGAACGTATATATTTTAAAAAATTGACTTAGTACTCAGAGGCCTCCTATTACAAGGTAACGTTATCAATGTAGATTTTCTCCCAAATGACAATAAGTATAATCGAGTGATGCTGACATTTAAAGATGACGCGACCGCAAATCAAATATTAATTAATAAGGAAAAGCTGCATAGGGTGGGCCTGACAGTGACTCGCCTATTCGAAGTGCCCGGCCCCCCCTCGCACCTCATCAAATTAAATAAGAAAGACATCTATTCAAAGGTGGTGGAAAACAATAAAGCTGAATATCAGAATAACCACCAGTCGCCTCACGAACTGGGCACCCCCACACACAACTTCTCCTTTGAAGAAAATACCTTAATTAGTCAATTCTGGACATTCCCACCTTTAATACAAGCTGAAATCCTAGAAAGATTAGAAACGCTAAGAAACAAGCTGGCTGGGAAAGACTTACATAAGGAAACTAAGGTGGACGTCCAAAGAAAGAGCAAGAGCCCTTCCAAAATGATCATCTCACAAGAACTCGATTCAGTGGCTCTTCGACCACGTAACCTTCAGATAAAGGCAGAGATTAATCTACCTGCAATCAAGAAAGTACAACTTACAAAGGAGAATAATGCATCACTCCCTATAAGGAAAAACATGCCCAAGGAAACCTCACCAGGCTTTTGGTCCAAAATGAGATACTTAGATGAAACGGAATTAGGCGACAACCAGGTAGAATACCCCCAGGAGGAGGCCTTGTATAGCAAAGGCCCAGTGTCTACCAATGTGAGTACTCTACATTTACCATCTGACACCATAGAACACCTGGGCAGCTCTCCATGTAAGGATGATAGACGGCTGCCACGCAGAATGGTAAACTCCAACAGTACCTTGGAAGATAATTGACAAGGAATGGATTTTGGTAAAGCCAACCTTAGCTTTTTATCATGGAATATCACAGGATGGCAAAAAAAGGCAGCTGACCCATCCTTTGTTAAATTTATCCAAGGCTACGACATAGTATTTTTACAGGAGACATGGCTCACAGGAGACCTAGAAGTTAACGGCTTTTCCTCAATGTCCCTCACAGGTTCCCCAAGTACTAAAGGGGGGAGAGTCAAGGGTGGCCTAGGCATTTTAATATCTACAAGGTTGAGGGCGTCCTTAGTAAAGCTAGAGACACTGAAACACCTGGCTATGGCCTTACTAGTGAAAAGTAGATTCTTCACCCTGCTACTGATTAATGTATATCTTCCCCCCCAAAGAGGCAAGCAGCTGATTAAAAACACCTGGCATGGGCTGGAAACATACATTGATGGTTTGATGACTCAAACCATCTTCAGTGCTAGTGGCTGGTGATCTTAATGCCGGAATTGGCCAGTCTGACGAAGCACTATATGCACTATATGCACACTTCCACGACTCGCCACCCATCGTGGAAGAAAACCACCTTATACCCACCAGACTCTCAAAAGACAAGGGATGTAATTATGCAGGTCTGTGCCTATTGCGTCTTTCTAACAAGCTGGACCTGGTCATACTAAATGGGCGCAAGAATGGGGAGACCTGTGGGAATTTACTTTTATATCAAATGCAGGAGCTTCCACTATCGACTATGTTATGGTATCATTTAATCTCCTAAATAGAGCCCTTGAGTGCAAAGTGGAGGAGAGGGTTGATAGTGATCATTTACCGCTCTGCCTCCTCCTGGATGCAAGAAAAGACTTATTTTGCAACGATAAACTTGAAGCCCCCAGGTCCTCCAATATGGAGTTGAGATACTCACGTATTAGATGGTCCGAAAAGCTGAATGCCGAAACATCTGAAAGGCTATACTCGGACGCATTCCTCGTGAGAAGAGATAATCTCTTAAAGCCACCATGTTCTGAATCTAGAATAATCTTGTTCCAGGATCTGATCTCACTTTTGCAACCCCACCTGATTCAAAAAAAGACATTGTTGGGTGTCGATTCTCCCCTCAGGCGCGAGACAAGAGGGGGTGTTGGGTGTAGTGAAGGGTTAACCTTCTGTGTCTCGAGGCTGAGAGGAGGCGCTTACAAGGGAAGTAAGCCAGGACATGACGAAAGCAGCTTGGAATGCTATGAGCTGAGTGAAAAGTGAAAGCAGCTTTGCTACGCAGCTGCAAACTGAGAGAGAAGGACGCAGAGAAAAATGCAGCTTGAATCAGATGGAATTTCTTGATTGTAAATATGCTACTTTTGAGCAAATAAAGTGATATTAGGATAGAAGAAACGTGTGGGACTTCTTTTACTGCCCTTTCAACACGGATGCTGTGCAATTCTGCTAATTGCTTTACGACCTGCAGAGGCACGCAGGGGAAGCATGCCGGACGCCGAACAATAAAGCAATAAATCTACCTAACAGACATCGCGCCAACCTATATTCCCCAACAAATCCAAACCCTGGTTTGATCAGGAATGTATTGCTACAAAGCGTTCTTTGCTGGATAAGTACAGGAATTACAAATCAGTGAACTTACCCTTGCTTCCCGCGGAATGGTTCAAAGCCAAACGTAAATATAAAGATCTGATTAAAAAGAAAAAGCTTCAGGCCCAAAGGGGGGAGTGGCAACGTTTATTAGAGGCCTCTCGAAGGAAAGACTCAGCCACCTTTTGGAAAATAGTCGCGAAAAGTTGGCAAGACTTCCCGATTGAAATTGATTATACTATACCAGTTGGGATTTGGGAGGCTTACTTTCTATCTTTATATACATCAAATCAACATCTGCAGGCCCTGCCCCCAGCTCCGAGTGATATTGGCGCCGAATGGCCCCCAGTAGCAACTGAAGAGATCTATAGGTTCATCCAATCCCTTAAACCTGGAAAAGCACCCGGCGTAGACAACATTACACTGGAACTCCTTAAGGCTAATGTTGAATGGTGGGCCCCTGTGCTAGCTGCCCTATTTACCAGCATAGACCAATCGGCCACTATCCCTGAGGACTGGGGATTAGCAATCATCATCCCTTTATTCAAGAAAGGGAGCCGATCAGATCCGGCTAATTACAGGCCAATTAGCCTCCTAAGTATCATTAGCAAATTGTACGCTGCCCACCTATGCGGCAAATTAGTGGACTGGTTGGAAAAAGACCACATTCTTTCAGAAGCACAGGCTGGTTTTAGGGCAAATCGGTCAACCTTAGACCAGGGCCTTGTTCTCCAACATCTTGCGGACAAATATACATCAAGAAAAGGAGGTTCCCTATACGTGGCCTTTATAGATTTCAAATCTGCTTTTGATTTAATACCGAGGGACAGGCTTTGGGGAAAGCTAAGCGCCGCAAATATAAACAAACGCCTACTGTATCTCATCCACAGTCTATATGAAAATACACGGATCCGGGTAAGGTGTGACCGACAGGGCCACCTATCCAAGGAAATCCAAATCCATCAGGGGTTAGGCAAGGGTGTGTCCTTGCGCCTACTTTATTTAACTTCTATATCAACTCGCTAGTAGGAAATATGGAGAAAGAAAATGCCCATCCCCCCAAATTGGCTGGTACGCCCCTCCCGGTCCTTTTATATGCAGATGACACAGTTTTAATTTCTTTTTCTTGTGTTGGATTAAGAAAACTTTTGAGATCTTTCACCAAATACTGCAGCACCAAACAATTAACAATTAACTACAACAAATCCAAAGTCATGGTGTTCTCTAAAAAAAGGAGGAGGCACAAATGGAGAATAGACAATCGCTTAATAGAACAGGTAGCAACCTTTAAATACCTGGGTGTAACCTTCCAGGAAAGGGGCTCCTGGCGCTTTCAGATTAATAATACTATTGCAAATACAGAAAGATCTACCAAAGCGTTAATAAGATTCTTCTATGGGAAAGGAGGCCAATACATACTGGCAGCCTCCCAGGTCTTTGCTGCCAAAATATTATCACAATTGTTATATGGATCCCAGATCTGCAGCTTTAAAAACCTTACTCTCTTAGAGGCATTTCAAACTAAGTTTTTCCGCTGCCTGCTGGGGATCCCCTCTTGCGTATCCAACATAGCGGTCCGTTTGGAGGTTGGGCAAATTCCTATCAGTACTCGGATATGGATATTGAAGATCCATTATTGGCTAAAGCTTATTTTCTTCCCGGTTGGGCTGGCACCTTTAACCTTATTGGATACCTACCAATCCAAATGGAAAGCTACACTGCTGGAAAAGCTTAAAGGCTTGGGGATCCCACAACAGACCCTGATAGCGACAGGCTTCGAGAAAGCTAGGACTACAATTCGCCAGCGTATCTGGGACGTAGAATTACAATGCCACATGAGCGAAATGATCAAACATCCTGCAATAAGGGACCATGGGAGAGGTTTCTCTCCAGCTAACTATCTGTCAGGTCTTCAGGTACCCAAATACAGACGGTCTTTTACCCTCGCCAGATTCAACGTTCTCCCTTCTGCCTTACTTCAGGGCAGATTTGAGGGTAAACCATACACAGCACGGGTCTGCCCCTGTGGCTCGTTGGAAGTTGAAACTGCTTCACATGTACTATTACGTTGTCGTCTTTATGAGGATATACGTTTGACTTTTATTACACCTGTTTTGCAAAAGTCCAGGAAAGAATCGGAACACCACAGTTTAAAACTACTGCTAGAGGACAAGAATCCCAAGACTACATTAAATGTAGCTAAATTCTGTGCGTCTGCAATTAATCGCAGGAAGCAAGTGGTATCCCATAATGACCAAACCCCCAAATGTTAATTACAGGGGGCACGCTAATAATTAATTAAAATTTTTTATATTTAAATGCTTGTTATACTCATATTGTCCTCTGTATTTTTGATTTTTTTTTTTAATTTTTTTTTATGATCTGTGATATTGTGTGTGTTGACGCTGGTCTGTGACCGTATTAATAAATTCATTCATTCATATATAAAAACATAATAAAACATTAAAAAAACCTTTCCTATGCAGGCCTGCCTTCACATAACTTCGGCTGGATCTAGACACATCCTGCTTGGCAGGGGGTTGGACTCGATGGCCCTTGTGGTCTCTTCCAACTCTATGATTCTATGATTCTAAGCGATTTAGTTAAACGTGTGGCAAACTCATACAGGGAAATCCAGTAGGGAAAGATGGGACTCCACAGCACCATCTGGTGTCACAATGTTATACTACATATACAACACATATAAAACGTGTTTTCTTTACCAATTTAGTCCATAATACTTTCCAACATTTAATAATGAAAATAGAGACATCTTACCATACTCTCCAGCATTTCTCCATCCTAAGGAACATCCCTATTTTAAGGAAGAGCAGGACATTTCAGGATCAAATCGGAAACCAGGATGGCTTCTGTAAATCCGGGACTGTCCCTGGAAAATAGACACCTGGAAAATCTGCTCTCTGTCTCTCCATTGTCTCTCATTGCAGCTGAGTAATTTCCAAGTAGATATGGCTTTTGGTTTTCCAGTCTGTTGCTTCACAGGGTCTGCTCAAGGGCCCTTTTGGCTTCAATTGGGACAATGTTTATTCATTTGTCTTTAAGACTAACATGTCAAAGAAGAGCAAACAATGTATATCTTTTTGCTCAGTTCTTTCTTTGCATGGAACCTAGAGGGAAAATGGCATTTGTTTCTTTCATGTACTCCAGGAATTGGAGGTGATACTGGAGTGAGACTCAATCTGTCAGAAAATTGAAGATCCAAGATGGTTACAACCTTCCAAAAGATGATAAAGGGCTTTAAAAGTGAAAACAATAATAAGACTACAGCGTGCTACTGTCTGTTTTCATTTCTGACACAATCAGCAGCACAAGTAGGAAGAACTGTTATGTCAGCTTCTGTTTCTGTTACAATCTTTCCCTTAAAATCAAATATCAACTTTTGTTTTGTTTTGTATACACTACATGAAATACAGCACTTTGCCTGAATCTTGTGACCTTTTCAAAAACCCAACTTTTGATCTTACTGGCCAGCCTGCTCTTGTCCTGCAGGAAGGTGGGTCCCTCCCTTCAGGCATATTAATGGCAGCATTCACAAGGCATTGCCTGGAGATGCACAGGTGCAGAAGGAAGTAAAACATCATCACAGAATTCTCACTTCCTGTTAATTTGTGATTATTCACATCATTCACATGTGATTATACCCACCCCCCACAAAATGTGTAGGTAGTCACTCACCAGTTACAGCTTCACCACCAGTTCTGAACACTCATGGCAGCTCATGCAGGCAGTCTGCAGGAACCAACACTTCTGTGAGCCACATTGAGGCAGCATCCATATGGTTTGTTCTCTATGCCATTGCTGTAATCTGTAGTTTTGTTGAAAATATGGGATGGAATTCAACACCACTCTCTCCCAATCATTCCATCCACTCAGTTGGGGGGGGGGCATAGGGGGAAAGATCCATTGCACAAGCGGAAGTCCTTATACATAGCTTTCTTGGATGGAACTGGTTAAGAAAATCCCAGCAATGGTTCTTCTGGATTGTACAGAATATTCCTGTGCCTGTAACACACATCACTCATAAATCCCCACTGGAGAACTTCTCCACACACTCCCATTCTTTTTATTTCTTTTTAGAGCAAAAACACAAACAAAGCAGAATAAAAAGGGGGGGGGGAAGATAAAAAAAGAAATACGTAAAAAGGACTTCCAGCTATCCAGCTATCCAGCTATCCAGCTATCCAGCTATCCAGCTATCCAGCTACAAGAGTTCTTCAACATAGTCAAATGTTCAATCCAGAGCAGTATCCTCCAGGTGTTCCTCCATCTACTAGGTGATGCTTCTTCAGCCTTCAGTCTCAAGTTCATTTCTTTTTCTTTTGCAACAAGAAACCCAAAAGAGGTTCTCTGCTTATTATTATTATGCATAAAAGTCAACAACAGTCTTTGGCCAGTCCAACACCACAACTTTACCTCCAATATTAAGAAACATTTGGTCCTTGTTTTTTATTCCCTCAAGAGTTTATTTGCTGTGGTTATGTACTAAGACAATGATCCAACTAAATGTCGGGAATAACTTTCTGACAGTAACAGCTGTTCGACAGTGGAACTGCCTCCTTTAGGAGGTAGTGGACACTCCTTCATTAGAGTCCCAGTCTCAGTCAGTTTTATTGCACATAGCCAAAGGCTGCCGCAATGTACACAGAATTATTTGACAATTAAAAGATAATATACTGAATTGGTTAAAAAAGACTTAAAACATTCATATTATTAAAACATTACGTACGCTAAACAAAGCTATAAAAGTACCCCAATGTACAAATAAAAACATTAAACAATAAAATTCATAAGCTAAAATCATCACATGGTCACTAATGTTAAAAACAATATCAATTAATACAGTGTGCAATTTATACTCAGAGTTTGGTGACAAAGATAGAGCATAGCCTGAGGTAGATAGATAGGATCAAATAAATTCATCTCCTTTACAGTTAATGGCTACCTTGGCTATATAATTTGCTCTAATTTTCCTAGCAGCAGTTGCAAAAAGTGCTACCCGCCAGGTCACATACTTATCTGTGTCTGCAAGGAGATATAACATCATATCAAGGGGGTTCTGGCCAGGGGACCCTGTCATTATAGGTACCAAAAATCTTTTCTTGCATCATTATATAACGGACAGTGCAAGATATAATGCATAAGGTCCTCTACTTCAGAACATCCCCTAATGCAAACACGTTCGTTTTTTGGTATGCCTCTATGTCTCCCATCTCTATAAGCAGAGCTTATTGTATTTAGTCGTAGCTCTGTAAAAGCTTTTCGAAGCTGTGCAAAAGTCAGTTCATTAAAATAAGATATGTGTTCATTGACCTCTGTAAGTTTAAAATACAATGGGGCGCATGTAGATGTGCACATAGAGTTTAGATCGTTTTTAGTTGCCACTGCCCTTATGGTTCGTTTAAAAATATTTTTCTGTGAATATAAGGGAGTTCTTTAATCTCAGTCACTGAGAGATCATATTTGCCCATCAGTTGGGCAGCATGATGTACCCAGTTTTTAAGGGGTAATCCATTTGAGAGCTCAATCAGGCATTTTTTTGGTAGCCTAGTGATGTCCATCTGTTGAACTCTAAACCAGTAACAGAGAATTCTTTTATCTATTTGGCTCTCTATGCTCAACATGCGAGTTTCCAACCTGACCATGGCAGATTGCACGTCTTTGGGTAAACCTAAAAGAACTCTTAAAAAATAATTCTGTGGGGGTTCCAGACCGGAGACCTTTGAGGTACCCCAAACCTCTGCACCATATAAAATCTGGGCCATTGTTTTTGCTTTATACACAGATAGAGCTGGGTTGGCCAGATTTCCACCTTTACATGCAGCGAATTTCAGAATGGCTTTTGCTGATTTAAAGGCTTGCAATTTAATATTGGATAGCTGTGTATTCCAAGATGCCGTTTCTGAATAAATCAATCCCAGATATTTAAACGTATTTACTTGGTTTATGATGTGTTCATCCAGGTGCCAAACATGCTTTTAGAACGCTTCCCAAATACAATGACCTGCGTCTTATCATAGTTTATAGATAAAGCATTCCTCATGCAATATGAACTTAATTTTGCAAGCAGCCGTCTCAGGCCCACCTGGGTTCTAGATACAAGTACTAGGTCATCAGCATACATTAAAACTGAGAGTTTTTGGTCGAGAATTGTGACAGGGGCAAACTGTAGGCCCTCCAGTTCTTTAACCATGTCATTAATATAAAAATTGAACAGGGAAGGTGCCAAAATGCATCCCTGTTTGACTCCAGTAGTGGTCTTAATTCTAGTGGTGAGATGGCCAGCCAGATCCACCTTTACTTGTATTGATGTGTCAGTATATAATGTTTTGATGAGAAATAATAGACGGAGGTCTATATTTGTCTTTTCCAATTTTTGCCACAATGCGTGTCTTGGGACCGTATCAAAAGCTGACTTTAGATCGATAAAAGCAACATATAATTTTTGCTTCAAATTATGGATGTATTTACATAGCAGAAAGTTCAGCACAAAGCACTGGTCCAATGTGGATTTCCCTCTTTGGAAACCTGCCTGGACTTCAGATATCACCTTATTTGTATCTACCCATTCTTCTAGTCTCCCAAGAAGGAGCCTGGCATATAGTTTGGAGGCTACATCTAACAAACTATAATTGGCAGGGTTTTTCTTATCGCCCTTTTTATATATTGGGGCAATTACACTCAACTTCCACCCTTCAGGTATACGACCTGAGCTGTTAATGTATGAAAACAATTTTGCAACTTTAAACAGTTATACACGCAGGAGACTCAGAAAGAAATAGACATTGATCGGTTTTTGAAAACAAATGGATTACAAAAAGTCTCTCAAGAGAGTAAATCAATACTAAACTCTACAATATCTGATCAAGAGGTGGAAGGAGCCATTCAGGACATGAAATTGGGCAAATCTCCAGGGCCAGATGGTCTGACTGCAAAGTATTATAAATCTTTGAAAGAATGGTTAATGCAGCCTCTGAAAGAAGTTTGCAATGAAATACTACGGGGAGGAAAGGCACCCGAGTCGTGGAAAGAAGCTTATATTACACTCATACCGAAAACAGAAGTGGAAAAGACACAGCTGAAGAACTACCGCCCCATATCCCTACTTAATGTGGATTACAAAATTTTTGCAGAAATTATGGCTAAAAGACTAAAAAATGTATTGGTGAAAGAAATTCATAAGGACCAAGCGGGCTTTCTCCCGGGGAGGCATTTGTCAGATAATACGAGGAATATTATTAACATTTTAGAAAAACTACAAGTTAACATTAATACTAAAGCAGTTCTAATATTTGTGGATGCGGAGAAAGCCTTTGATAATATCTCTTGGAGTTTTATGAAGAAAAATTTGCAGGGGATGGGGGTAGGTCAAAGTTTTGAAAACGGTATAGGTGCAATTTATTCGGAACAAAAAGCTAAGTTGATTGTAAATAATGTAGTTACAGAAGAGTTTAAGATAGAGAAAGGAACAAGACAGGGTTGCCCAATCTCCCCATTGCTTTTTATATCGGTCCTGGAGGTTCTGCTCAACATGATCAGGAAAGACCAATTGGTTAAAGGTATACAACTCGGAGCTAAACAGTATAAATTGAAAGCTTTTGCTGATGATCTGGTTTTGACACTACAGGAGCCAGAATCCAGTACAAAAAGAGTATTGCAATTAATCCAAGAATTTGGTCAAGTAGCAGGTTTTAAATTGAATAAGATGAAAACTAAGGTGTTAGAGAAAAATCTTACAGAGATTGAGAAAGAGAGGTTTCAGAAGGAGACAGGATTAACATTAGTTAAGAAAGTGAAATATCTAGGGGTTCACATGACTGCTAAAAATGTGAATTTATTTAAAGACAATTATGAAAAATGTTGGATAGAAGTAAAGAAGGACCTGGAAATATGGTCAAAATTGAAGTTATCATTGCTGGGCCGAATTGCTGCGATAAAAATGAATGTATTGCCTAGAATTTTGTTTTTGTTTCAAACATTGCAGATTTTGGACAAGATGGACTGTTTCAAGAAATGGCAGAGAGATATTTCGAGATTCGTCTGGCAGGGCAAGAAGCCAAGAATAAAATTTAAGATTTTAACTGATGCGAAAGAAAGAGGTGGATTTGCCCTGCCAGACCTTAAACTTTATTACGAATCAGCCGCATTTTGCTGGCTGAAAGATTGGCTGCTTCTTGAAAACACGGACATTTTGGATTTAGAAGGTTCTGATAATGTTTTTGGATGGCATGCATATTTATGGTATGACAAGGTTAAAGCACATAAGGCCTTTAAGAACCATATTGTCAGGAAAGCACTGTTTAATGTCTGGGTGAGATACAAGGATTTGTTAGAAAGTAAAACACCAAGGTGGTTGTCACCAATGGAGGCTAAGGCTCTGAAAAAAACTAATATGGAGACAAACTGGCCAAAATATTGTGAAATTCTAGAACAAGATGGAGATAAACTAAAGCTGCAGAGTTTTGATAAACTAAAAACTAAAGTTCGAGACTGGCTTCATTACTATCAAATAAGGGAGGCTTTTAATCTAGATAAAAAGATTGGTTTCCAGGAGGAAAAATCAAAATTAGAAACAGAATTGTTAGACCCTAAAACTAAGAATTTGTCAAGAATGTATAATTTGCTGCTGAAATGGAACACACAGGATGAAACGGTTAAATCTGTTATGATTAAATGGGCACAAGATTTTGGACATAACATTATGTTTGCTGACTGGGAACAGTTATGGACCACAGGTTTGAAACTTACGGCATGTAATGCCTTAAGAGAAAATATAATGAAAATGATGTATAGGTGGTACTTAACCCCAGTCAAGCTAGCAAAAATCTATCACTTGCCAGATAGTAAATGTTGGAAATGTAAAGAAACTGAAGGTACGTTTTTTCACCTTTGGTGGACATGCCCAAGGATTAAGGCTTTCTGGGAAATGATTTATAATGAATTGAAAAAGGTATTTAAATATACCTTTTTGAAGAAACCAGAGGCCTTTCTCCTGGGCATGGTCGGCCAATTGGTGCGAAGGGAGGATAGAACTTTTTTTATGTATGCTACAGCAGCAGCAAGAATACTCATTGGGAAGTACTGGAAGACACAAGAATTGCCTACCCGAGAAGAATGGCAGATGAAAGTGATGGACTACATGGAACTGGCTGAGATGACTGGCAGAATTCGAGACCAGGGAGAAGGGTCGATGGAAGAAGACTGGAAAAAATTCAAAATATATCTTCAAAAATACTGCAATATAAAAGAATGTTAGAAAGAGGTTGGAAAAAGAATATTAGGTCGTTTGGGCAGATATGATATAATGGACTAAGTAAAAATGAGGTGCGGAAATCGATGAAATAGAGGAGGTTTAATTACATTATTTTAATTTTAAAATACGTAAATGAAAAGAAGGTTAGAAGGATTTGCTGGAAATACGATCTGAACTAGAATACAAAATTGGGAGGTGAGAGGAGGTCATGGAAATAAGTAAAGGGAAAAGGCTAAGTAAAGGTTTAATCTGTTTTTTGTCTTATTTTAACTTAATGTATTTTTATATTTTTTGTTAAGTCTTCTTTTATATTCTATTTTATTGTTCTTTTTTATTTGTTCATTCTATGTTTTGTTACGGCTAAAGTTTTCTTTGTATTTTGTATGGTTTTTTTTCTTCTTTGTAATCTTAAATTTGGAATAAATATCATTTTTTTTTAAAAAAAAGAAAACAATTTTGCAAATATGGGTGACCAGAAATCAGGTCTTATCTTATAGATCTCCATTGGGATCATGTCTTCTCCTGGAGCTTTATTAGCTAGTTGGTTTGCGATTAGCCTCTTAATCTGATTGGGCGTGACGTCTGGCCATTCTGGCAGTTCTGATAACTGAGTATAGTAAACTTGTGGGGGTAGGTCAGGACAGGGGCCATATATTTCTGTAAAATATGTCACCCAATCCTTTCCTTGGACAGATGCTTCTAACGAGTAGCCCAGCCCATTGGTGCCTTGGGCAACCAGATGCCAAAATTTCTGTGAGTCCTTCTGAAGTGCTGCATCTCCCAATTCTTTCCACTGTTGTTCATAATATATTTGTTTCTTACTTTTAAGTAATAATTTATAGTTGTTTCGTAACTGGGCTACCTCAGCTTGTAGGGCAAGATTGTGCTTATCCTGTTTTAACTTCAATTTTCTAAGTACCCTAGCTAGGCATTTTTTGCTATTCTGACATTCCTTATCAAACCAAGTCTGTCTCTTAAACTTTTTGTTTTTTATCACACTAGCTGTGGTCATCAGTGGGCGCATTCGGTTGATTATGTTCTCATAAAGTCCAATTACGTTTCCTGTTTCTAACAACATTTCCCCCTTTAATAAAGCAAATTCATGGGAATCCAGGATCTGAATCATTTTTTCTTGGACCTGTGCATTCCATTTTAACCTTCTATTTCCAAGTATCAGATATTCTGTTTCATCCAATAATTTAGGAAAGGCAGGAGAAAAGAATAATGTCAGAGATAAGTGGAAAGTGGTCACTTTCAGCTCTGGGAATTATCCTGAAGGTATCTCGGTTAACTGGCACATTATTAGATGTTAGGATATAATCTATGGTGCTAGTAAATCCTCTGGGGGAGATAAAAGTAAAATAACCCTCTTGATCCCCTTGACCAGTGCCCATTGCATAACAAAAGGTTATGCTTTATTATAAGTTCACAAAGATGTTTCCCAGCGCGATTAGAGGTGGTGTCCATTGCTGCCCTCTGACAGATTTCAGGTTCGTCCTCCAAGTTTAGACCAGATAATATTGTATTTTGTGGGGAAACAAGGCCGATCCGGGCATTGAAGTCACCTCCCAAGATAAACCGAGGGTTAGGTGACAGAGAGTCTATACTTTCGAGTAGTTGGTCAAGTTTATCCCAATATGATCTCAGTTCCCCACAAGACTTTACTGGAGGTATATACACACATATGCAATAAGTATTTCTCAGGAGACTATCAGAAAGGGACAACACTAAAAAATTAGGGGTGGTCAACAAGGGACACTGTTGAATTGATGCATTAAGAGAGGTTGACACCAGCACCGCCAGCCCCCCACTAGGCCTTCCATACTTTACAGTTTTAAGAGCTGGTTGAGTGTAACTTGTAAAACCCTGTAATTCAACCATAGTGCCCTCTTTTGCCTAGGTTTCTTGAAGAAAGATGATATCATGTGTTTGTAGATAAGAACAGAAATCACTGTCTTGGATCTTGTTTATCCACCCTGTTACATTCCATGAGAGAAGTTTAATTGTTTTACAGTGATTTATCTTAGTCAATTGTTGGCCGATGTGCTCTCGGAGTTTACCAGTTTTTGAGGCAACAGGTTATTGCTAATGCTAGTGGAATAATCCAGATGTTCGATTATTTCAGTCGTCGTACATAAAGTACTCACATTTGTAATCACTGGGCCTTTTCTTTGCAAATTGTTTGCCAATGGGGATTTCTTGGGTGTATTTCCTGACTCCTCCTCTTCTAAATATCTCATCTTTGTCCAATACTCCGGTGGTTCTATAGTTATCATTCTGTTGTGGCCATTGGATCTATTATCAATCTCTGCCTCCGGTTCTTTAATCACTTTCAATGTCTGGCTCATAAGATCAAGCCTCTTGATAACTGTTTGTTGCTCTTCCTGAGGGAGATTCCTAAAGGAGCTGAGAGAATCCTCTTCCAAAGGATTTACAGAGTGCTCAGATTCCTGAAGATGATTGTCTAGAGGAATCGGCTGTTCCTTTTGGCTCACCTGGTTATTTTGATGTTGGGCATGATCCTGCGGATTCAACTCAGGCATGTCTGTTTCCTCCTCACCTGCCAAGTTTTTGTGTGATGTCATTACTTCCATTGGGGATCCAGGCTTTGGTTTTGTGAGCCCCTCTGAAGCAGCAGTCCTCATCTTACATAAGGGTGCAACAATAGAATTGCGAAATACCCGGGTTGGAAAAACTCCTCTGCTTGACAGTCTGAATTTCAGCTTGTGAATTAGTGAGGGCAGTCTAGTAGAGGAAAAAGTTAACATAATTTTTTGGCTTTGATTTGTGGTACTCAAGAGTTCAGTCCTAACGAGGTCGATCTCTGTAAGTCCAATGCCAAGTAAGTCTGATAAATGTCGTTTGGAACGCTGGGCACCTTTCCAGCTAGGAGTTTGATCTGGCCTTCCACAAATTGTCATGCAGATCTTTTTTGGTTGGAAGATTAAATAAGAAGAGTTTGTTTTAAGAGCCTCTGCACGTTCTATGTTGAGCTTAGGGGTCTGCTCTTGCTGTCGCCAATTTCCTTTGGTACTATGGTGTTCTGTTGATGCCTGCTTGTTATTAACTGATAAACTGTGGACTTCTTTGGATAACTGGGTTATTTGAGAGGCAATACCTCTAATTTGCTGGAAGATATGCTCAACCGTTCTTGCAATTAGAGTTAATTGGGTGCTCTCCCTACTTGTTATTCCTTCCTCTCTGAGGAGCACAGGATCAGCTTGCCCCATTGCTGGATCCAGTTCCACGCTCTCACCTTGAATACTCTCCCCACACTCACAATCATCTTCAAGAGGAGAAAACCGGTTTTTTGTTGGAACTGTAAAAGCAGATTTGTTTAAAAAGTCCTCTATTTTAGATTGTTTGGGAACCGGTGAGAGAGCTACATCCTCTGGGTCCCTGTGGCGTTTACTAGCAGGCATAGCGTCACCGTGGGGAGTAAACAAGGAGAGGTTTCCCCAACCAAAAAAGAGAGAAAAGAATAGAAAGTGCTCAGTTTGTTCAATTTAAGAGCTTCTCTGTGTGGAGATTGCCAGAAGTTTCGGGGACAAAGTATAGAAGGGAGTTGGCGGTTAATAGCTAGCAGCTGGTGGCCTGCCCAGGATGCTTCACAGAACTTGCCCAGGATGTTTCTCATAGCATAGACAAGAAGGTGCTGTTAGACTCTCAGTAAGTTAAAAAGTAGAGAAGTAAAAAAGGAAAAATTACTTCCCTGGGTGGCAGTCAATGCTAATTACAGTCCTGTTATCTGCAGAGCTCCGAAGCCTGCTTGCTAAGCCGTCGCCATCTTGGACCCGCCTCCCTTCATTAGAGGGTTTTAATCAGAGGTTGGATGGCCATCTGCCAGGGCGTCTTTAGCTGAGATTCCTGCATTGCAGTGGGTTGGACTAGATGACCCTTGGGGTCCCTCCCAAGTCTACAATGATATGATTCTATGATTTTATAATTATCTCTGTCAACAGAGTCTCAACAGAGATGACTGACCAGCCATGATGCCTCCCCAGAAGTTCTCCACATGCTCACCTTCATGATATAGGCCACACTGTATGAATTTGTTTATTTTCCTCTTCTGTACTAATGTCTTGCTTTCTTTTGCATTGTGTCTGTTAGGCCAAGTTCTCACAGAGGTGATAAGAAGAGGCCCCTTGTGATAGAGCACAAACTTCGCTTGCACACTTCCTGGCATCTGTAGATGCAAGGGTCAGAGGGCAGTGGGTAGGAAAGGGCCCTTTCTGCCTGACTCCCCATGGAGAGAACTACGGATTTCTATGAGCTGCAAAGAAAGTTATTGTTCATGCTTTTTGCTCTTTTATGTGTAGATGATGGTGGTGGTGCTGATGATGATTTTACCATTTACTAAACCAATCAGCCACCTCCATGAAAACTAGGCTTAGATTATAAACCATTCTGTTAGGAACCAATCTAGTTGCTTTTTTCCATTTTTTAACATCTAGTCAAATTTTCCTGGTAATTACTGGGTTATTTTCCCCAGTATATGTCCTTAATTGCACTCTTGTCTTGACAAGTGGACAATGGACTGAGCCTTTTTTTTTATTGTGGGTAAGTCTCTTCATTGGCGATTGTAACAGAAAACCTGCTGAAAACCATGTTTTCCCATTACACAGTAAACAGTGCAGGTGTCCTCATCTGCCTCCTCTCTCCTTTCCTCCTGTAAATGATAAGTGTTATGTACTGAAGTTCTCACCCTGGGCCAGCAGGGGGATACTGTAGATAGTTTTCACTTAGGTCCACATATGCAAATAAGGAATTGAAAGTGACGTTCAGTGATTGGATAGTTACAGAAAGTTGTTACTGTTGCTTTGTAGTTGAGCTCTACAGCAGGTTGGCTGAACCCTTCAGCCCAGTTCTGTTCTGGGCTTGTGAATAAACAAGAGCTGTTTGAAGAATCACTGTGTTGTCTGATATGTTCACCCACAACTTAACTATAAGCTTTTTGCTTTCTTGCCAGTCCTTGGCCTGACTTGTTTGTATAGCCAGATAGCTTAACAAGCATCGCCTGAATGCATTTCCTCAACAGCAAAAACACTCTCCAGATCTCTAAACTTCTGCTATGGGCTTTGCACCTGGTTTATAGACTTGCTTTGTGTTTCTTTATTTTCAAGATGCAAATCCTGTAAATCCATGGCAGTCCACAGCCTTGTTCTAGGTCAGCTCCCCATCAGCCAGTGGCAAGATAAAAGGGTGCAGTCTTAGCTCCAATGCACCGTTTTGCTAATATTGCACAGGTAATATTCAAAAGTGACAAGAAGGTTGATCAAATATCTCCAGTTTAAAAAAGAACAACAAAATCACACTGTCAGCACTGCAAAATTCAACTTAAAGTAGCTTTCCAGTATTGCTTCTTCTTTTGTTAAGTCAATGGTAGTGACTTTGTTGGGCCTATTCTGAATTCCCACACTGCCTCTCCTCCCTCCCAGCAGTTGCAATGGAAGATTGTTTCTTCATCATACAGTTTTGGAATAATAATTTTCTTGCCCCTCCATAATCAGATATGAAGCTCACTTAAACTTTTTCTTTTATTGCAAGAAAAATAGCCTTCTGTTAGCTCCACTGTAATTCCTCTTTAATAATAATAATAATAAATTTTATTTATATCCCGCCCTCCCCAGCCGAAGCCGGGCTCAGGGCGGCTAACAACAATAAAACAGTACAAAAGTATAGCACAAACAACACTCTAAAATCATTCATTATAAAATTAATTATATTAAATTTTTGCCTCTTTGTTTCATAATTCCTTTCAGCATTCTTTATGTGCTTTGCCATTTCTGCTGCATCCCCACCACATCCAAGCCACAGTCAAGCTAGTTTACCAGTGAGGACTCTTTCACTGATTATGTTTTCAAAAGATACAAAATTATTTAACTAATAGGCTGCCTCTCACTGGAAAAGGTAACTGATAGAGTCACACATAGGAAAATGATAGACCTGAGAGACTCACTAAAAAGTTATGCAGCTATGTTTGATATTCCACTAGTTCTGATTAAATCATATATGCTATCATCCCTCACCCAGGTACTTCAACTACACTTGGAAATGTCCATTTGTGTTCCATATTCAGATAGACATTGATTGCACCAATGCATACATTTTTAATCAAACAGTTTCTGTATCAAATATGAAAATCTACATTCTCAGAGGCTATTCTGTTCTTTGGGTAATATGCTGGGGCTTGTCAAGCATCTATCAACAATGCCATTATGTACAAAACCATAGTCAGTGTGACTTTGGGTTTTAAAACCCACCTCTCCAGTACCCATTGAAATCAATCAGTGGAATAAATTGAACTCAAAAGTACTGTAACTTTGGCTGAATCATACCCAAAGCTTTCTCTCCAAATTTTTTAGAAGCAATAAAATATGCAAAAAATATACAAGGGTTTACACCCCCCCCCCATTTTTAAAGCAACGAAGCCCAACTTCTGTCTAATGGAGTAGTTTACAATGTTGAACTTCAGGAGTTGATAAGCTAAGTGAATCCTCACACTCTGGTCTACCATCTAACAGTGGGTGGTATCTGACTTATACTAAAAAAACAGCCAATAACTAGATGCCTGTCCCAATGAAATAAACTAATGGCACAATCCTAACAATGTCTACTCAGAAGTCAGTCTCTTGAATCATTTGCTTACTCCCAGGTATGTTAAATTAGGATTGCAGCCATAATTTGCCAGGGCTCAAAGAGGTACTTCTCGCCCTGTGATTTAATTTTTTTTAAAAACACACATTTCCATCACAAAAATTGCTTTAAATTCTCTTTAGTTTCAGAAGTTGCCTACGAAGTTGTCCGCAATGCACAAGTCCAAAATTCCTTTGGGTGTATGGAGCCAAGATCATAATCTGAGTCAGCTTAATTTCAATTTTTCTAGTTAAGAGGTCTGTGGACAGGGCTGCAAATCATGGTATTATAGAGATTTAAATATTTCTGGAACCCAAAATGGTGAAGTGCCTTGACACAATAGATTTTAATTCAATTGTTAGCATTAATGATTTTTTAAATATCTTCATTTAAAGCAGAATGATGCATTTTCTCTTCTCCAGCTGCTTCATGGGAAAATGCCCTTCACATTTGAGACTTTGTCAGCTGTTTATAGGTGAAGGCTAGCTCAATATGGAGACTTCAGATAAAATAGAATTTAAAAAAGTTCAGAATCTATGCTTAGTGTTCAATTTCTATTCTGTCCAGAGCAGCTTTAAAATTGAAGAAAAGTGAGTAATAGATTTGAGAGTCATCAGAAATATAAATTATAGCCAGACATTTCCTATCAGCTCTCCATGTAGTTAATGATAAACAGTCAATGGGATGTATGCACCTCTAGCATTTTTATAATGAATCTATTGCTTCCATGACAGCTTCCTGTCAAACATTATGCTTAGGAATTTATAACTCTTGGTACCATATTAATAGATGGTGCAGATAGATTACCATCTTCTGCTTCAAAAGTGAAGTTTATCAAATTCATTTAACCCATCCTCTCCAAACCTGACTTACTACGGAAGTCAAATAATACAGCTTTTCTTATGCTACTTTTCAAAGACATGGGATGACTCACAAGCGAGTCCCTTTGTGTAATATATGTGCAAAAGCCTTGTATGAATGAGCAGTATATTAAGTTCTCTACAACAAAACTATGAACTGGAGGAGTGTGATAGCCTGGGAATCTGATTCAGAGGCTGAACTGGAGGAATCCCAGCCTGCACAGGAGTCCCCGCCTCCAGGGCTGGCTGAGCTGGGGCAGGGGCTTGGATCTGAAGGGCCCTAACCTGTGCCGGATCCTCAGGAGCAGACACCAGCTGAATCCGCTCTGGCTCCGGAGGTGATTGAGGACCCATTGCCTGCAGGTGCTCTTCTCCCAGCCCTGTCAGGGGAAGGTGAGGTTGCCTCTGGGTCCAATAACCCTCCAGCCTCTCCTGAGCTGCAGAGGCTCAGGGCAGAGAGGCGGAGGGAACTAAGTTCTCTCAGGAGGAGTGCTCGCCTTAAGGCCAGGGGAGGTGAGTCACTTGTGGGCCGGGACCGCCCTAGGCCTCAGAGGAGATAAAGGCCAGTCAGCCCAGTCCCAGGTTGCGGGAGCAACATCGTTGGTTACCTGTTCCTGCCGGCACCCTGTCCTGCTTTCTGCCAGAGTTCCTGACCATGCCTGACTCCCTACCTTCAGGGACCCCGCTTCAGCCTTGGACCACACTGCACGGTAACCCCCCGGGACCAGCACAAGGAGTCCAGGAACTATTTGGCAGTTAAGATGGGTCAGAATTGTAAATATGAGGCCTATTCCCCCAGATACAATTAGGATTGGACTCATATCCTACCAGAATACAGACATGGCCACAATTAGAGCTATTTGGGCCCTTATTTACTAAGGGGTGCAGAAGGAGAATAATACTACTGTGGGCTGCTAGGAAGGTCTCTCAAAGCTGTCATGAACATCTGCAGGAGCATTCAGAGCTACTAGGAGCAATGGGAAATGACAAGCAAGTGAGCCTCATTTCCTCATACCTACTCACTTTCTTGCCTAGTGATGAACCTTGCCAGACACACCTGAATTGTGTGGTTTTGTCTCAGTTGTACAAGCGGATTTAAGGACTCAGGGCTCCAATTTCTCCCTCTTTGCCATCCCAGGCAACAAACCTCCCTGTACTGCTTCAATCCTCCAACTTTACTCTTTCTTTCAAAGGTGCCTTTCTATAACCATACTAGACAAAATAATATTTTTACATTCACAGAAACATTCAGGACTGAAACAGGATGCTGAAGCTTGCATGTTTTCTTTACTTTGAGAAAGCTGCAGTGCACCACAGTGACTTTGTATGCCAAGCACACACACACAAGAGATGTGCTCTGGCTTTCAGCCACAGGCCTTCCCCAAAACAGGATTGCAAAATTCCAACCACTAGGGCAGGGATGTCCAACCAGTAGATCATGATCTACTGGTAGATCCTCAGCTGATCCTGGTAGATCGTGGGATCCTTATTGTGTACAAAATGTTACGGGGGCAAAGCTTAAAAACTGTGCAATCCTCCTCCTAAAAAGCTCAACAACTCTGGGCAATCCACCCACCCCACACACGCTCCTCCTCCCTCCAATAACAATGAGTAAATCACTGCCAGTTTTTTTTATACTGGGAGTAGATTTCAGTCTCTTGGGAGTTGGACATGCCTGCACTAGGGCATCAAGCTACTTAAGGTCTATTTCTGCCCCAGTTGGGAGGGTGGCTCACAAAAGCTTTTACCTATAAAATGTTGTCTGCTTAGCAAACTAAATGTCTGAGAAGGGTGTTCTCTGGTTTAACAAAAGGCGAGCAGGGGCTTTGAAGTTGCTCAGTAACAGCTAATAGCTGGGCTAAATCTACACATATATAAAAAATGTTGTGGAAATGCTTTAAAAATGTTTTTAAAAAAATATATGGAATTTGCCATTAGCTCACCAGCACCATTTGTATAATGCATTTAAAACACACTTAAAACATTATATTTGCACCTGTATAGCTGAGTCCCTGGACAGAAAACTGCTAAATAGGACAGTCTTATTCACATGGTGAAATGCCCTGTGTTCTTATTTAAATTATAGTTTTTGTTTCTAAATTTATGTATAAATTATCCCTACCTATTGAGATCAAGCAGCTGCCTTCACTGTCATCTTTTCAGCATCTGCTGAAATATTCTAAACAACATTGTTGTTTAGAAAGTTGAAGTAATTCTAATCTGTTTTAGTATTTTAACTTTGGTATGTTTTGAAGTATGGCTGTGAATTTTTCTTGATTTTCTTGTTTTTTCTTTTTGTTGAAGGTTTTTACAGTCAAAACACTTTATGAAATAAGTAAACAAGTTAGCATATATAAATCCTTTGCTCTCCATTTTGGTGGTGGGTTTTCTTCCTTGGAGAAGTCTATGGTCACCCAGCTTTGCCTTCTGTGCAACATCTCATTTTCTATATTGATAGGATTTGTTTTGTTTGGAGAACATTTTATCAGTAAGCCCTATCCCTGCAGTCCTACATTCCCCCCCCCCCCAGGTCCACCACCCCTGTAAACCTCAGCAGGCCTAAATCTTCTCAAGTGTGTAAAGCCCTCCTTCAGCATTTCACAGGCTAATCACATGCACTAATATATCAAAAGCACCAGAACAGCTTCAGCATAAATCTTTGCCAAAATATCAACAACCCTGTTACACCTAGTTTTGCATGTAATATTGGAATACAGACTACTGACATCTCCAGGCAGGACTCAGAAAGACACCTGCCAGTGACCCTGGAAATATCCGCTCACTTGGGACTCCGGGTGGGTGGCTGTTGCTGCTGTGGTGGGTTCAGGGAGGCTCCCAACTTCCAGGCATGGGCGGGGAGGGCTGGCACTGCCCAACTCTGGCAGCGTTAGAAGAAGAAGAAGAGAAGAGTTTGGATTTGATATCCCGCCTTTCACTCCCCTTCAGGAGTCTCAAAGCGGCTAACATTCTCCTTTCCCTTCCTCCCCCACAACAAACACTCTGAGAGGTGAGTGGGGCTGAGAGACTTCAAAGAAGTGTGACGGGCCCAAGGTCACCCAGCAGCTGCATGTGGAGGAGCGGAGACACGAACCCGGTTCCCCAGATTACGAGACTACCGCTCTTAACAACTACACTACACTAGACCCTCAGGCTGGGGCTTGGGGCAGCGAGCAGCCCACCCCCAACCTATTTAAGGGGGAGGCCAGGTGCAGGCTGCCCTCTTGGCCGATTGTCGCAGGATTTTCCACCCACCCAATCTTTAGGGGCCCACCCAGAGGAGGAAAGTGGGCACATTGCCATGGACCTTGATATGGTTAATTCAGTTGCTGTATTTGGGGGCCAGGGAGGAATTTCCTCCTGCAAGCAAATTGGCCGGCTTGTAGGTTTTTGCCTACCTCTTAGCAACTGTCACAACTTTGGTGGATTAGGCAATGGGCTGCATAGTACATGTTAGAGGGGTCAAGGAGGGGGGACTCTATCCGGGAGTCCACTGGTGGACCTTTCCCAATGGTGGCCTGTGCGGGGTTGTGGCATCCAATCCATGTTTGAGTTGACTCCCCAGCACTGGTTTGAAGCCACCAGGTTCCTATCAGGTAGCAGGCAAGGTGCCTGATGCAGGATATGCTCCCAATGCCTTAGCCAAACCTACTCTTTCCTTTAATCAATAAAGTTGTGGCCTAATTTCCAGTTTCTTGTGTCATTCCTGCAGCCTTTCTTTCACCTGTCATGGCCACTATGTATCTGTGCTGGCAATCTACTACCAATCAGAACCAAGAGTAGTGAGCTAGATGGACCAATAATTTGCCTTGATCAGTCTCCTCACGTCCTCCTTCCATTATCATCTCCATCCATTTGCACAGAGATTGCTTTCTGAGGCCATCCTCAAATATCAACTTTTTTTAAAAAAATCATTTTTATTAAGTTTCCCATTTTAACAATCCAATCAAATCACATTGAATGTTCCAAATTATACAAATACTTATCAAATGGTCCAAATATTCTGCCTAAATTATATATTTTTTTGTTGGGACTTCCCATGTTTCAGGTTCGGGGGGACTCTTATCATCTCATATCTCTGCTGCCTTTAATAGTCTTTCCAATAGTTCCTTTAACCTGTTGTTAACCTTCCTTCTTTCATGGCCTCTGAGTTGTTTCCACAAGCAAGTTGAAATAAGCAATGATGTGTTTCTGTATGAATTTTATGTGTATGACTCTTCGATGTTGTTGCAGTGTCTCCTCACACGCTGGTGTTTATGCCAAATCAATCCAAAAGTCATTTCGCTGCTGACAGACGCCATCTTCTCTCATAGAATCATAGAATCATAGAGTTGGAAGAAACCACAAGGGCCATCGAGTCCAACCCCCTGCCAAGCAGGAAACACCATCAGAGCACTCCTGACATATGGTTGTCAAGCCTCTGCTTAAAGACCTCCAAAGAAGGAGACTCCACCACACTCCTTGGCAGCAAATTCCACTGTCGAACAGCTCTTACCGTCAGGAAGTTCTTCCTAATGTTTAGGTGGAATCTTCTTTCTTGTAGTTTGGATCCATTGCTCCGTGTCCGCTTCTCTGGAGCAGCAGAAAACAACCTTTCTCCCTCCTCTATGTGACATCCTTTTATATATTTGAACATGGCTATCATATCACCCCTTAACCTCCTCTTCTCCAGGCTAAACATGCCCAGCTCCTTAGCCGTTCCTCATAAGGCATCGTTTCCAGGCCTTTGACCATTTTGGTTGCCCTCCTCTGGACACGTTCCAGTTTGTCAGTGTCCTTCTTGAACTGTGGTGCCCAGAACTGGACCCAGTACTCCAGGTGAGGTCTGACCAGAGCAGAATACAGTGGCACTATTACTTCCCTTGATCTAGATGCTATACTCCTATTGATGAGGCCCAGAATTGCATTGGCTTTTTTAGCTGCCGCGTCACACTGTTGGCTCATGTCAGTTCCAATGAAATCAAATCTAGGCGTTTGCTCATTAATTTTCCCAGAGTGGTTGGATCAAACATTAGCCTTTCCAGGGGAGATTTACCAAATCAGACTTGAAATATAGATATAATGATATATTAAGAGCTCACCTCCTCCTATAACTATTTATAACTCTGCAGCTCGGTCTTATTCCATAATGGCAGATTTCCAATCAAAAACTGAGTCACATTCTAAGAACCTGTCCAATTTTTTTTGAAGTCTCTCCAGAGGCTAATGAGATCCTGCTTCTTTCTAAAATTGGCATTTGGAGGGTCTTTTATCTTCTTCCAGGCAATTAAAAAAACAGAAGCTTTAATTATATAATATTGTTATTTCCACACAGTTTATATTGTCCAATCTCGCTTGCTGTAAATAATGTAAACGGTTCTTCTGGGGGGGGGGGGGTTGCCAAGTATTATAATAAATCAAAGTACAATAGTAAAAAAGGCTTTACCCCCTCCTTTTCCGTTCCGTTCCAACATACCAACTTAGATGTTATCCTCCACCACTCCGTCTCTTTTGGCACCTCAGTGGCTGGCTTAATTGGCAGATTAATTTCCCCCTCCTCACTCGAAGCATGTCCACAACTTAAATCCAATTTTTCATCTTAAGTAATGGAACTTGGTGCTCTCGCAGGGACCAGCGTCCAGGAGATCCAAACTCCCTCGGGGGATTTCCATCCAGTGCTCCCACCCCCTCCTTCTTACGAACTTGGGGGTGGTTTATTAGGCATCCGCGATGAGACTGCATCTTCCCTTACCCTGGGGAGAATTTGGGAGGCTGATTACTCCCATCTCAGCCTCTAATTACCCGGTGGGAGCTGGAGCGATGGTATTGTCAGCCATCTTCCGTGGCACCTCAAGCTCAAGTTCCACGTCCTCAAATATCAACTTGATGATATCAACTTGATGAACATTACGCCAAATCCCATGAAAACCAGGGTGACATATCTCCTCTTTTCCCAGGAAACATCCTCTTTTTCATGGGTATAAAATGAGAGTCGTCATAGCAAATCATAGTTAAAAGTAGAAGTCAGCAAATGTGTCCTCTTTTTATGCTCTTCAAAATATGGCAGACCTAAATGCCCCTTAATATCTTGAGCCTTAAGTTAAAGGGGAGAATAGGTGATACTTTAAAAGTTGTATTTATTTGTCACAATTATGTTGTACAAAAAGAGGGGAGAAATAGATATTATCATCAAATGTAAAAGTCACAGAGTAAACATTTCACTTGTCATCTAAAGGCCAGTGGAAGTGATGGTATTGCAGCTGAACTATTTAAAATTTTAAAAGATGATGCTGTTAAGGTGCGACACTCAATATGCCAGCAAGTTTGGAAAACTCAGCAGTGGCCAGAGGATTGGAGAAGATCAGTCTACATCCCAATCCCAAAGAAGGGCAGTGCCAAAGAATGCTCCAACTACCGCACAATTGCGCTCATTTCGCACGCTAGCAAGGTTATGCTTAAAATTCTACAAGGAAGGCTCGAGCAGTATGTGGACCGAGAACTCCCAGAAGTGCAAGCTGGATTTAGAAGAGGCAGAGGAACCAGAGACCAAATTGCAAACATGCACTGGATTATGGAGAAAGCTAGAGAGTTCCAGAAAGACATCTACTTCTGCTTCATTGACTATGCAAAAGCCTTTGACTGTGTCGACCACAGCAAACTATGGCAAGTTCTTAAAGAAATGGGAGTGCCTGATCACCTCATCTGTCTCCTGAGAAATCTCTATGTGGGACAAGAAGCTACAGTTAGAACTGGATATGGAACAACTGATTGGTTCAAAATTGGGAAAGGAGTACAACAAGGCTGTATATTGTCTCCCTGCTTATTTAACTTATATGCAGAATTCATCATGCGAAAGGCTGGGCTGGATGAATCCCAAGCTGGAATTAAGACTGCCGGAAGAAATATCAACCTCAGATATGCAGATGACACAACCTTGATGGCAGAAAGTGAGGAGGAATTAAAGAACCTTTTAATGAGGGTGAAAGAGGAGAGCGCAAAATATGGTTTGAAGCTCAACATTAAAAAAACGAAGATCATTACCACTAGTCCCATCACCTCCTGGCAAATAGAAGGGGAAGAAATGAGGGCAGTGAGAGATTTTACTTTCTTGGGCTCCATGATCACTGCAGATGGTGACAGCACTCACAAAATTAAAAGACGCCTGCTTCTTGGGAGAAAAGCAATGACAAACCTAGACAGCATCTTAAAAAGCAGAGACATCACCTTGCCAACAAACGTCCGTATAGTACAAGCTATGGTTTTCCCAGTAGTGATGTATGGAAGTGAGAGCTGGACCATAAAGAAGGCTGATTGCCGAAGAATTGATGCTTTTGAATTATGGTGCTGGAGGAGATCAAACCTATCCATTCTTAAGGAAATCAGCCCTGAGTGTTCACTGGAAGGACAGATCATGAAGCTGAGGCTCCAATACTTTGGCACCTCATGAGAAGAGAAGACTCCCTGGAAAAGACCCTGATGTTGGGAAAGATGGAGGGCACAAGGGGAAGGGGATGACAGAAGACGAGATGGTTGGATATTATTCTCGAAGCTACCAGCATGAGTTTGACCAAACTGCGGGAGGCAGTGGAAGACAGGAGTGCCTGGCGTGCTCTGTTCCATGGGGTCACGAAGAGTCGGACACGACTAAACTACTAAACAACAACAACACACAATGTTAAAACATTATTCAGAGCCAGAAGATGGGCTATAAATGGGAAATGTTCTGTCGGATTTGCACATTGCTACTTTTACACATTACTGCTACATTCTTCTGAGATAATAACAATTGGACTTCAACGGTGTGCTAAGAAGACTTCCCCATCATTGCAAGCATTTCTGTTTGCAGATGGAATGATTTGCACTTTGCTCTTGCTGCATGCTGTTCTGGAGGTTCTCCTGATCCTCTCGATCAGACTTGGGAAGAACTCAGGAGCAGGAGAGGGGGGAAAGTCCCATTGTGCAGCAGGTCACATTGCTCTGGCTAGTCCAACAACTCAGTTGAATGTGTTCAAGGGTGCATTGCTATGCACACTTGCATGGGAACACAGTAACTTGCAAGTAAAAAACCATATGATCTGGCAGCAAATCATTCTGTAGGTGTTATATCAAACTGTTCATAATAAATCATTTCTCCCCAGAGGTAATTGAGAGTTAGACATATTAATGGCATGTTTGAATTTCTACAGATGGTAATTCCCAGCTATTAGCTGAGTTGTCTTGATGACCTTCACTGTACTAGTATTACTTTACTCATCCTATCTTATTCATGTACTTCACACATATATTCATATCCTTGGTAACCTTTGCAAATGATTTCCCGGGGGGGGGGGGGATTTCTTCAGCAATACCAGAAAAAACTAACCTATTGCCATCATCTTCTAAAAAGTAATTAGCCATGAATAATTGTTCCTTCCTGACATCTTTCTAGCTTGCACAGAATTGATTTTTTTTAAAAAAGTGGCTCTATTAATTGTGGAAGCATTGGCAGCTATTTTGCTTTTGTTCTCTCATTTCTTATTCTGTCTCTGTGTGTGTTTTGTTATAAGTGCAGTGGATTACTTTTTTTCATCTTGTTTAATGTTGCTTGCATATTTCCCAAGTTTTATTATAAATTGCATCCCAGACTGGCATAATAGATCCCCCCCACCTCCCACCAGTTTTATTAGTTTTGATTTTGCAAGGTTCCTTTGCCTTCCATGAGCCATTCTCATGAAAGTTAAGGCACATTTATTGGAGGAGGTGGGTCTTTTTTTTGTAATTTTGTATAACATGCATCTTCTGACCAACTTCTAGTAAATGACTGTAAATAAGTCCAGCTCTCATCATGCAGCTGAACACCCATACTGTATAGTGTAAGGGATGTGGAGGTGGGGGGCGAACCTCATAAAAACCTCCTCAACCAGGAAGTAAGCAGTTAAAAGAAATCCTGTGCATTTCCCCCCAATTTCCAACTTGTCTGCCCACTTATTATTTTCCGCTGCACAACTGTGGGGGAGTGCTAAATAGGTCCAAAGGTGCATTCTTAGTTCATGCTGATCAACAGTGAAGCCCAACAGGCCTGTGAGCACTTTGTGCAAATGAAGGCAGCCCTGTTTAAGGAAGTTTTTAATGTTTGAAGTTTTATTCTGTTTTTAGTGTTCTGTTGGGAGCTGCCCAGAGTGGCTGGGGAAATCCAGCCAGGTGGGTGGGGTATAAATGATAAAATTCTTCTTCTGTTAAGTTGTGGGTGAACATATCAGATGACACAGCAATTCTTCAAACAGCTCTTGTTTATTCACAGGCCAGGACAGAACTGAACTGAACTGAAGGGTTCAGTCAGCCTGCTTATATAGAGCTCCAGTACAACGTAACTGTAACAATTTTCTAAAACTATCCAATCACTGAACGTCACTTTCGATCCCTTATTTGCATAACTATCTACAGTATCCCCCTGCTGGCCCAGGGTGAGAACTTCAGTACATAACACCTTCTTCTTCTTCTTCTTCTTCTTCTTCTTCTTCTTCTTCTTCTTATTCGGAATGGTGAGATAGAATCCATTTGCTCCCAGCAAACCCTGCCCCAAGGGTAATCAGAAAATTTCTGCCTGAGGGAATACTACAGAAATCAGCTCAGTAGTTAGAAAATTCTAGAAAGTTGGATTCTATTTGCCTCAGCAGTCCAACACCCAAAAAGTACCCTATGAGCACAAAATGTCTCCAGAGCCATCCCCCCACAACCCCCACTTTCAGGTTTGCCACATAATGCTGTGTAAATTGGCTAGTCCAGAAAGTCAGTCACAAGAAGATGAGCTAACCGATGTCTGGTGTCTGTTTTTAAACTTGCGTAGGTCAGCTGTATGGGCAAGTTGCAGACAGGACAGGAGGGGAGGGGAGGGGGAAAGAGGCTAGAAAAAGTTCTGGTTTTGCCTGCTACTGTAATGTCTCCCAAAGGGAGGAACTGTTGAGACAGACCCTCAGAAAGAGGAACTGCTTATGTAAGAACTCTTGTGCTGCTTGTTTGCAAAATGATGTAATCTCACTCTGCACATGCTTTTGTACTCATGTCTGGAAGTTGTTTGTGACACACTATAAAAGTGAGCCCCAAATAGCAAATGGGGCTTAGCCTTTGAGAGTAATCTCGCTGAGCCGCTACGCAGCTAAAAATAAACCAGACCTTCCTTGAAGAACCCAGTGTCTGTCTTAATTGACTAGGATAAATCCTGCAACAGTAGTTATGTAGCACCCTGCTTGTGGTTAACGCTTAGCTGGAATGAAATATTCAACGCAGCAATAGAGAAATTAAAATAATAATTTATTTGTCAGACAAATAAATGAGAGACACAGTGGTATATGGATACCAAAGCTCTGCCTACTCCAGCCCTGATGGCCAGCACTTATATTTCCTCAGCCCAGCCCCCTTGCTCCTCCTTTGGCTGCCTCTGTCCAATCAGCCTGGTTGAAATTCCTATTGGTTGTTTGCTAGAACCAATCATAAAAGATACACCCATTTCCTATTTCCTTTTATGGGAGACAAAAAGCTATATTTCCTTGTATCCATAAATGGCAGACAAGTAGCCATATATCTTACATTTACCTCGACCAGGCACCTCAATTACCAGATAACCTTTGGCCCCTGTTGCCCTATTCACCGCAAACCAGATGGCTAAAGCAGATGGTGCATGGTTTCTAATTTTTTTATCTTAAAGAGATCTTGAGTTCACCTTCTCACCCACCATAATAGGAATCTAACATAAGAATCTAACATTTCTTACTTTCTAAATCCTTTGCATAATTACATTTAAGCCAATATATTTCATACATAACATAGATAGATTTTTAGAAGGAAAGGCCTTTTCAAATTAGAAGGAACTTAGTAAAAGCTAAGTTCTCTTAGTTCTATAAAGAAACCTTTTCCCTAACCAGCAGCTGTTTCTTCCATTTAACCTTTAACCTTATGGCTCGAGTCTTCTGTTAAACAATAAATTTCACTATTTACCAGTTCTTAATTGTGTTTTTACAGCTTGATTGTATTCTGGTCAGTGTGACCTTTTGCTCTCTGGCTCTAATTTCCTTTTACAACCTTGAAATACTTTTTACAACCCTGAAATACTGCTATTTATAGCAGTGGGGCCCTTGAACAGCTGCCAGAGTATTCAAGCTGGTCTTCTCCCTGGCATGAGAGAAAATATATTTACAAATATAATTTTTTAAGCTCAAAGCAGATTTTGATCAGATGCCTCATTCCCCCCTTTCAAGCTCAAGGACCTTCATCCCAAGTGTCCTTGATAGCTTGACCTTCATCATATTCCTGAGGTAAAGCTCTGTATAGGGCCATAATATGAGGTAAAGTTTCATTTGAAATCATCTTGCTAATTGTACTTCTAAAACATGAAATGATACATGGCACCGTACATAAAACCATTACTACTACCGTCAAGAAAAACAAGCAAGACAATAGTATCCCTTTGAGTCCCGCAACATTAGGTAACCAATTGGTGAGCCATCCCATATCCCATCCTTCCCATATTTGTACTGGGACATGTGCTATACTCTCCATCTTTGTGGCCAACACACGGATTGCCTCACCATTATCAGAAATGTTAAAGCAACAGGCATTCCCTGTCAAGTTTAAGACTCCACATAGGCCTCCCTGCCTGGCAAGTACATAATCCATTCCCATTTTCAGCTGCAAAATGGCGGCTCTACTTTCATCCAACTGTTGTGCAATAAGTCTCAAACTCTGGGCCGTTGCATTGGTTACAAGTTCCACTACTGCTTGCAATCGAATTATTCTGTTTAGATTATAAATAGGATCCCGTGCCCCTTGTATGAGCTCATCAGGATTCCAGGAGGCAGGCTCATAATAGGCTATAATGCGCTCTGGTGGCCAATCATCAGTATCACTCCAACTTTGGGTACTTCCTCCTGCTATATGAGAAATATCAGCGTTTCTTCGTGTACGCTTTGCCGAACTAGTGGGCATAATCCACATTGGTGGTAATACCCATCCCAGGAAGCAAGTCCCACTCCATTTGGGAGGGAGTTGCTTGTATGCCCATTCTCCACATATCCACCACAACCATCGGGTCTGAGGTTTTTGGTACGTGGAGTGCATAAGGCGAAATATCAAAAGGGGCATAGAGTTCACAGTGCAGTATGTTAGATTGCCTTTTCTGTCACAGTTATGTTCCACACCAGTTTCCATGCATGAATAAAAGGAGGTGCACAGGGCAAGGTATTCCGAGTTCGATAGGTAGTACCGTTTGCCCAGGTTTGACTATTCTTAATATAATCCCAAGTATAGTGGCAATGAGAAGAGCCTATCATGATAGAATCAGCTGCAGCTGATAATTTATGTACACAGAATTCCCCTTGCACAGGTATAACTCATATTGGTTTAGTTGAGTTCCATCCGGGGAAATTCTGTACTTCTGTTTGGTGTGGCATTTCGCTTACCATACCAATGGCATTTAATGGTATCGGTAATAAGGGCATACCTCCCTCTGAATCATCTGGTCCAAGAGAGCAAACAAGGCAATTGGTCCTATTTGTAACATTGGCTACCATCTCGGCTAAGCCTACCCACATATTGTGGTCATGGCGGAATCCATATTTAGCAAATTTGGTCAGATTCAAGGACCCTTCCCCTTCCCAAGGGATCAGGATTAATAATAAAATCATGTTGATGTCTAGTATATGCATTTCTTCCACAAAAGATTACCTTATTGTGATAACAAAAAATATTAGGCCCAATATAATTCCCCAATGACAGAAATGGTGAACCACCAAGACCAAAACATATATCCCGAGGATCCCCAATGAGTAATATCCCTGATAATTGTTCCACAGGGGGGGGCAGTCAATCAATTGTATAAGAGAATCTTCCTGTTCACAATCGCTGGTTCAGACGCTCCTCAAGCTTCAGGCGTGCGCAGGTCAGCCAGCTTCCAGGTTGTGGCTGCAGCAGGCCGGTCGTCTAATGTTGCCCGTGACCTAGCCCGTTCCCCGTAGGGCTAGATACAGGGGTTTTTGGAGAGAGTCAGTTTAAAAGGATTAGAGGGGTCACCTTTGCACGTCCAACTGCCTTCGGACTTCTTCAAACGGGAGTGATGAATCCAGGGGGTCACCTCAGCTACCTTCACCGCTGTTGGAGTAGAGAGCAAGACGGTGTAAGGCCCACGCCACTTAGGTGCAAGTGGATCACGTTTCCACTCTTTCACCCATACGCTATCGCCAGCCTGGAACTGATGAATCGGCTCGGCAATGCTGCACGGCGTGCGCTCGAGGGCCCACCTGTTAAGAGAAACAAAAACACGGGAGAGAGATTGCACTTGTCCCTGTGTCACATGGTCTCCTATTTGTTTGAGGTCAGCTGGAATATCCTGAACAAAGGAGGGTGGCCTCCCATACAGGAGCTCAAAAGGTGACAACTTAAGTCTTTTTGTGGGTGCACACCGAACACGAAACAGTGTTATGGGTAACACATCTACCCATCCCAATCCTGTTTCCTGGGTTAATTTTGCCAATTGGGTTTTCAGAGTCCGATTCATTCTTTCAGTTTTCCCGAACTTTGAGGCCTATATGCTGCATGCAGTCTCCATTTCACTTGTAGGACTCGACATACTTCTTGTACTACTTGATCAATGAACGCTGGCCCATTATCACTTCCAATGCATCTAGGTAATCCAAACCTCGGGATCAATTCAGTGAGGAGTCTCTTAGTTACCTCTCGTGCCTTTTCAGTCCTGGTGGGAAAAGCTTCAACCCATCCAGTAAGAGTATCTACAAACACAAGGAGGTACTTGAATCCCTTAGAAGGGACCAGCTCTGTGAAGTCCACAATTAGGCTTTCCATGGGGATGTATCCCACATGTTGGATTCCAGGAGGTTGTACCGGTCCCTGCCTGGGATTGTTTTTAGCACAAAGAACACATTTCTGTGAAATGCAAGTTGCTAATTGTGATAGGTTAATAATATACAACTTCCGACTGAGACTCTCTCTGGTTGCAGTACCGCCAAGGTGAGTAGATTCATGATAATTTCTTACAATTGTGCCTGCTAGGTGATGAGGTACATAAATCCTATTGTCCGGCAGGATCATCCAACCGTCCTTCACAACCGCTCCTTCCTGTTCAGCCCACTTCCTCTCTTCTGGGGTATAGTGAGGTTTAATTTCTTCTGGAACTACCTCTGGTATGAGGGCTGCTATAAATCCTCCCACAGGCTTCTGGGCTGCCTCTCGGGCTGCTTTGTCAGCAGCATGATTTCCTCTGGTTATTGGATCCCTTCCACGTCCATGACCTTTGCAGTGCATTACAGCAATCTGTTCTGGAGCCCATACTGCTTCCAACAGGATTTCTACTTCAGGTCCATATTTCAAGGCCTTCCCATGGGCTCCGATTAGACCTCTTTCTTTCCATAGAGCTCCATGTGCATGCAGGGTTAAGAAGGCATATTTAGAATCAGTATAGATGTTTGCCTTACATCCGGCTGCCAATTGCAGAGCTCTAGTTAAACCTATAAGTTCAGCCTTTTGTGCTGAGGTGCCAGCAGGCAAAGCTTCAGCTTCCACAACTTCCTCATTGGTGACCACAGCATATCCTGCTCGTCTGGCACCTTCATGCAGGTAACTGCTACCATCAGTATAATATACAACATCTGGATTTTTCAATGGTTCATCTTTCAGATCGGGTCTACTGGAATACACTTCATCCATTATTTGGAGACAATCATGTGATTCTTCATCATCTACCTCTGGTAGGGGCAGCAAAGTTGCTGGATTGAGCATATTCACTACTCGTAGATGAATCCTGGGATTTTCACACAATAGGCCTTGGTATCTAGCCATCCTTGGATTCGTTAGCCAATAACTACCCTTATATTCCATGAGTGTCAGAACAGCATGAGGTACATTCACATACATCGTCTGGCCAAAGGTAAATTTATCAGCTTCTTTGACAAGGCTTGCAGTGGCCGCTACTGCCCTTAGGCATGGAGGCCATCCTTTTGCTACTGAGTCCAATTGTTTTGACAAATAAGCTACTGGACGGTTCCAACTTCCTAATCTCTGGGTCAGGACTGCTGCTGCAATCCCATTCTGTTCATGTACATACAGCTGAAAGGGTTTTTCCGAATTAGGCAGTCCCAGGGCTGGGGCCTCCATAAGTCGTTGTTTGATAACTAAAAAGGCTTGTTGCTGCTCAGGTCCCCATACGAATGGGTCCTTTTCTGCACCTCGAGTGCTTTCATGTAAGGGCTTGGCCAGACTGCTGAAATCAGGTATCCATAGTCTACAAAACCCTGCTGTTCCCAGGAATCCTCTGAGTTGTTTCCTTGTGGTAGGTTCCTTGATAAGGCAAATAGCTTCTTTCCTCTCTGGTCTCAATGCTCGTTGTTGGTGTGAGATGTCAAAGCCCAAATATTTGACCTTTTCTAAACATAACTGTGCCTTTTTCTGGGAAACTCGGTAGCCAGCTTCCCAGAGCAAGTGGAGCAGTTCCTCTGTCCCTTCTTTACAGGTATCAAAATCCTTTGCCGCTAGTATAAGGTCATCTACATATTGCAGAACCACCTTTTTCCAGGTATTGAGGGGTAACTTGTTAGATCCTTCGCCAAGGCAGTGCCAAATAAAGTTGGGGAATTTTTGAATCCCTGGGGCAATCTTGTCCAGGTTAGCTGGCCTTTTGTTCCTGTCAAAGGGTCTTCCCACTGGAAGGCAAATATAGGTTGGCTCTGTGGTGCCAGCCGGCAACAGAAGAATGCATCTTTCAAGTCCAATACAGTAAAAATGTTGCTTCTGGTGGGATCAAACTCAGCAAGGTATATGGGTTTGGTACATTTGGGTGCAAGGTCTCGATAGCCTGGTTTACGAGCCTCAAGTCCTGTACTGGCCTGTATTCATCTGTCCCAGGCTTCCGAACAGGCAAAAGGGGTGTGTTCCATTCTGATTGGCAGGGCTTAAGCAGACCATATTTTAATAGGCGGTCCAAATGTTTCTGGATGCCCTCTGCTGCTCGCCGGGGTAAAGGATATTGCTTTACAGATACAGGGGTAGCCATAGGTTTTAGGGTTACTACAATTGGAGCTATATTCTTAGCCATTCCTGGTGGGCTATTTTCGGCCCATACTCCTGGTGGCACTTGTAGGGTTCGGAGGAGCTTGTTTAATTCTGTATCCAATGTGGGTTGGACTTGCAGGGCTGACATTAGGCGCCATGATTGTTCCTTAGGTACTGAGAGGGAAATTATTCCTGCTGCCTTTGATGGCAGTTTCATTTCTGGACCTCGAGGAGTGAAGGTGATTTGGGCCTGCAATTTGGACAGCATATCTCTACCTAAGAGAGGCATTGGACACTCAGGTATATACAAAAACTGATGGGTTAAATGATGTCCCCCAATCTGGCATTCTAAAGGTTGGAGGAAAGACCTCTTAGCTGACTGACCAGTGGCACTTTTAATGACTACACTTTTGGATGCCTTTTTCTGCAATAGTTCTGGGAGTACTGAGTATTCAGCGCCAGTATCTATCATAAAGTCTATTAAATGGCTCCCTAATTGAATTTTGACCGTGGGCTCCTGGAAGCCTAACTTTATGGAGTCCGGTCGTTCCTAGTCTTGGGTAAAATCCTCCTCTGCCAGTCCAATGAAATTGTCTCTACTCCGTCCTTGTCCAGGTCTCTGATATCTTCCATCTCGGATCATTCCCCGTCCCCGTCCCTGGTTTCTTGGGCCGGAGCCTGGGCCTGGGCCTGGGCGTACTTCTTCCAACCTCAGGGGTTCAGGACACTCCCGCTTCCAATGACCCTCCTTCTTGTAATTCGCACATTGATTCCTTCCCAGTGGTGGATTCCTTCCCCGTCCCCTCCCTCCATTTAAAGGGCGGTAGTCTTGCTTCACTGCTGTGGCTAGCATCACCATCTTTTCCTTCTGCCACTTCTTCTTCTCTTGTTTCTCAGCCTCATCCCTATTCCGATAAACTCGGCGTGCAATGGCCATAATTTGGCTCATCAGCATCCCTTCCCATCCTTCTGACTTCTGAATTTTCTTACGAATGTCAGAAGCGCACTGAGCCACAAAAGTAGCAGTAATCATTCTGCTGTTTGCAGGGGCTTCAGGGTCAAAAGGAGTCCATATGCGATAGGCTTCCTGCAGCCTCTCTAAAAAGTCTCCCGGACTCTCATTCGGTTTCTGTTCTACTTCTGAGACTTTAGTCATATTAGTGGGCTTCTGGCATGCCCTGCGGATACCTTGCACAAGCGTCTGGCGGTAGGTGGTAAGCCTGGCCAGGTGAATTGCATTGTTTGGATCCCAATTAGGATCCTCCAAGGGAAAATTGTCCTGGAGATGACGGTCAACATTAAGAATATTTCCCACTCTGGCCTGCTCACGCAAATATATCTGTGCCTTTTCAATTATGTCTCTTCTTTCCTCAGTGGTGAACAGAGTATTCAGGAGCTGGCGGCAATCTGTCCAAGTAGGACTATGAGTATTTACTATTGAAGTCACCAAGTCCATCATAGCCTGAGGTTTTTCTGCGAAAGACGGGGTGTGTGTTTTCCAATTCATCAGATCCGTAGTTGTGAATGGAATGTACTGGAGGGTCGAAGTTCGAGGTGGCCATGGTCCGAGTTGCCCGTTAACCAGCACAGGCTCCTCAAGTGCATCAAATACTCTTCTGAGAGGGGCTACTACGTGACCTTTCTCTTCGCTTTGCTTTAGGGGCCTCAAATCATAGGGGATAGTATTTGTCCCAAGGCGTTCTTTTAACAGCTTTATACGCCTGGCTGTATTGCTTACTGACCGATCAAAGTCTCCCTGTAACTCCTGTAATAGTTCTCTAGGACTTGGATGTACAGGGGTTTGGGGTGGGCAATCAGTTGTTCCACTAAAGGAGACTGTAGATGGAGTTCTACTGGGACTCACAGGTGGAATAACCACTTCTGCTTGGGCTTTATTATAGGACTCCAATGTCTCCTGAAGATATTTATCATAATCTATCAAGGAATCAAGCTCTGTGACTCCAGCCCCATTATTCCTTCCACTTTCTTGCCTTGGGGTTACAACTGGTGGAGTGTTTGGATTAGGCTCCCCTCGATGTGGAGCATAGGGTGGAGGTGGAAGCACCTCTTCCTCTGGTCCCTCAAAAATGGGTTTGAGTTTATTTGGCAAGATTCCTTTTCTAGCTTCGGCTTTTACTGCCAATAATTTGCATTGTTGGACTTTGCATTCCCTTATCCATGGAGGATTATTATTTAATGTGCTCAGCCAAGAATCTATATATGAAAATTGTTCTGGGCACCCTCCAGTTTCTTTGGTGATGTTAGACCAAAGTTTGCTTGCTAAATTTATATCAAAACTTCCCTGAGGTGGCCATCCAGTATTTTGTTTTGGCCAGTCTAATTCACATAACGTTCTCAAGCGCTCTGGCGTCATTTTGACTCCATATGCTCCTGAGAAGGCTTTCTTAAAATTATTTAACATACATTCAAGAGGTGTATTTTCCCCCTTTGAACCTCCAACTCCCATTGTATGGCCCTGTGAAGTATCCACTCAGTCACTCACACACGCGCTTCGTGAGGTTCCTTGCCCGGATGAAGTCGCCTTACCGGGAACCGAAGTACTACCCACTCCACACTCAGGTCAGCTACAGATTGTACTTTCTCACACATACAATGCGCTGGATACTTCACCACACTCTACCTCCCAATCTTTCCCTTTTCCCTCCACCAGACCACCATCTGATGTACCCAACCACCTAGCGTACTCAGTTCCCCCTTACTGAGACGCAGAAGTTTGATCAAGACTTCTCTTCCTCCCAATTAATTGGAGGGCCACAAACCCTTTGTGCACTTACCCTTAGCTGGTTCCCTGTTTATTTCTCTGGTTACCCCCGGTCCGTCGCCGCCAGTGAGCAGGGTATCAGACAGACGAGACTTCTGCGTTCCCCTGGAAAAATGTTCCAGTGCGCGCTGGGTAAGCGGTCAGTGGTCCTCCCTCTTGTACCCTGCCCGCTAGGGCGAAGGGGCTGCGTTCCAGCAGACCACTTATCCGAGTCACAGAGGCACCATAAAATGTAGCACCCTGCTTGTGGTTAACGCTTAGCTGGAATGAAATATTCAACGCAGCAATAGAGAAATTAAAATAATAATTTATTTGTCAGACAAATAAATGAGAGACACAGTGGTATATGGATACCAAAGCTCTGCCTACTCCAGCCCTGATGGCCAGCACTTATATTTCCTCAGCCCAGCCCCCTTGCTCCTCCTTTGGCTGCCTCTGTCCAATCAGCCTGGTTGAAATTCCTATTGGTTGTTTGCTAGAACCAATCATAAAAGATACACCCATTTCCTATTTCCTTTTATGGGAGACAAAAAGCTATATTTCCTTGTATCCATAAATGGCAGACAAGTAGCCATATATCTTACATTTACCTCGACCAGGCACCTCAATTACCAGATAACCTTTGGCCCCTGTTGCCCTATTCACCGCAAACCAGATGGCTAAAGCAGATGGTGCATGGTTTCTAATTTTTTTATCTTAAAGAGATCTTGAGTTCACCTTCTCACCCACCATAATAGGAATCTAACATAAGAATCTAACATTTCTTACTTTCTAAATCCTTTGCATAATTACATTTAAGCCAATATATTTCATACATAACATAGATAGATTTTTAGAAGGAAAGGCCTTTTCAAATTAGAAGGAACTTAGTAAAAGCTAAGTTCTCTTAGTTCTATAAAGAAACCTTTTCCCTAACCAGCAGCTGTTTCTTCCATTTAACCTTTAACCTTATGGCTCGAGTCTTCTGTTAAACAATAAATTTCACTATTTACCAGTTCTTAATTGTGTTTTTACAGCTTGATTGTATTCTGGTCAGTGTGACCTTTTGCTCTCTGGCTCTAATTTCCTTTTACAACCTTGAAATACTTTTTACAACCCTGAAATACTGCTATTTATAGCAGTGGGGCCCTTGAACAGCTGCCAGAGTATTCAAGCTGGTCTTCTCCCTGGCATGAGAGAAAAATATATTTACAAATATAATTTTTTAAGCTCAAAGCAGATTTTGATCAGATGCCTCAGTTATGGTGTCTGGGCCGTGGACCTCATCACTTTGGGCTATAGGTGGGAGTTCCTATGATTGAATGCTTCCCCAGGCAATAAAATAACATAAGAAATCCTTCACACAGAAAACTATGTTAAAGGAATGTTTTGTATGAAAACCGCCTTCTGTCATTTGAGGCCTTGCCTGCCCTTTGAACAGCACAGCTCAGACATATGTACCACTTTAGTAAGGAAAACTTAGTAAGGAACATTCCCCAGAATGCTCAGGAATTCCACATCAGACCAGTCTATGTGGAAAGAGTTCCGTAGAGCTATAGTTTGCAAACCACTGATGATAGTCCCATACTGTGTGTTGTTTTCATAGTCTGCTGCTGAATTCAGAAGTGAATGCAATTTCCTGTTTGTGTTTATTGCAAATGCCAGCGTCGAATGACTTGAGAGAGATAGTAAGGGGCAGGCATATATTGCTTGCTGTCTCTTCTGCTATTTCACATATCTTGTCTGACCAGAAAAGTAGCATAGCTTTACGTATGATTGCAAATTGTCAATCACAGTAAATTAATGTCTGAGATGGAATTAAAATTTTAAAAGCCTGTAGTTAGCTTTAAGTATGTTCTCCAATTTCCAATCTAGCCCATGACATTAGCTAAGTAAGAGCATGGCACCTCTGTGGCCAGCAGGCCTGAGCAGAGATCCTATTTCTGTCCAGGGTTGGTGTCAGAAACTGGGGTCCTTGAGAAGTTGCAAAGGCTACAGCAACACAGGGCTCACAAATGCCTGTCCTGAGTCCTTATGCGCCCCATTAAAACGTATACCCCATTGTCCTGAGCAGCTGGATCGAGCTACATACTGTATTAATTTTCCACAAATCCTCTGTCTTTGGAGGCATTTATTTGTGAGTGTCTATGAATGAATTTTTACATGTTGCATTGGTTACATTTACATTGGTCACAGGTCATTCACCAGAAAACCTTTATCCACAGTTTCCAATAAACATTCCTGTAAGTTTGACAGTTGTCCATGAAACATTAACTCTTTATGTATATTACCATAGATGGAAAAATTGAATTGGGGGGGGGTATCCAAATTACAGATAAATGATTGAAACTGCAAAACTGTTACAGCTTTTAAAAAGCAATAACAAGAAAGCATTTAAATTACACTGACATATTTCTTTATTATTTTTGTAGGGGAGATCAAGGCAGTTAAAGAACAAATGTTAATTGTAGTTAATGTTAATTGTAGTTAAATACTATTCACTAAGACACAAAACATTATGTAAGGAAGCTTACAAATGTTACATTGGTCACAACACAATTACCCTATTCTTGTTTTTTCAGCAGGTAAAAACCAAATGACAAAGGACCAGCTGAATGATTTTGGCTGTTTGGGGCAGGGAGATATAAATGTTTCTGGAGCTGAAGAGAATTATTGATCAAATAAGACTCCCATCATAAGAATAGGCAGTCCGTCCACACCCAAGATGCCTGTTGCAGCCAGAGCAACCTCTGGCACCAGGTGGCACCAGGTGACCACCCCCTCCCCTGGCTGTGCCAGATGGCAAGCTCCCCAGACCCACTGCGGCTGCACAATGCACCAAGTGTCACTCACCCGGAGTGCAGGGCGAGTGGTTATTCTGAAGCTGAAGAGAATTACTCATTAAAGAAGAATCCTATCATAAGAATGGTCTTTAATAAGTTAAATAAAATGCATTATCAACATGATATATAATTACATGCATATATGAAGCAAAAATATACAGTGGTACCTCGGGTTAAGTACTTAATTCGTTCCGGAGGTCTGTTCTTAACCTGAAACTGTTCTTAACAAGCAGCACCACTTTAGCTAATGGGGCCTCCTGCTGCTGCTGCACCGCCAGAGCACAATTTCTGTTCTCATCCTGATGCAAAGTTCTTAACCCAAGGTACTATTTCTGGGTTATTTCTGGGTCTGTAACCTGAAGTGTATGTAACCTGAAGCATATGTAACCCGAGGTACCACTGTATTATAATGCTCCCCAAGCAGTGGCATTTGCCATCCCTTTGCTCTGCTAAAGGAATGGTTTTAGTTGCCTTCTTCTGTATGAAAATACAGTATTTGGGTTTTTATACTTTTACTGTTGGTGCTAATGTGTGTGTTATGGCTGCCTCATGGAAGATTTGCTATGTAGGGAATTTGCCATGGAGGTGGGGTGCTTGCCCTTCACTTTTCAGAAATCAACTGCATATACATTAACCTGTTTGTAGCACACACAAAAATTTGTAATTATTCTCCATTTGCACTTCTCAAGCTCGTCTCTATCATGCTGCTTTATCATGATTCTAGAGTGGGATTGGTTACCTGAATGTTGAAAACCATCCCTTTTTAATTAGGTTATCTAGAACTTTTCCTCCCCACATGTGCCTCTAGTGAATGAAAATGAAAGTGGTGATTGCAATTTTTATATACACAACATCATTGGAGAGGTGTGGATACACCCCCATTGCTGGGACAACCTACATCTGTTTTCAAATAGACACAATGTGAGGCATTGAAGAATAAATCTTCCACAAGCTTTATTTTTGGAATAAAACAAGTTATCGGGGGGGGGGAATATAAGCAATAGATACATACAGATTGTGTGTGGACTACATAGAAATAAACAAGTACTCAGCCACCACTGAGAATAAGATGTGTGTACACAGCCATAGTTTGCTAGTTCAGGTGCTACTTAACTCTCCATCTTAGTATCTATTCTGCTTTAACATTTCTCTTCGTATATCTACTAATGCATCCTTTTTCAAACCACATACCATCTAATTTTTAATGACTATGCATATCTCTGTTTTTCTTATCATGTACTGTACTTTTCTATAAGAGGCCCCCATGTATAATATGACCCTTATTTTGGGGGACTCAAATTTAAGAATATGGGGGGAAGATGGCACAGAGTTGTGGAGCTTTTTTTTAGGGGGAATTACCCAAGGGGGGTGGAGGCTACGCAGTGGATGTAGCCTACCTTGATTTCAGCAAGGCATTTGACAAGGTGCCCCATGATATTCTTGTAAAGAAGCTGGTAAAATGCGGTCTTGACTATGCTACCACAGTGGATTTGTAACTGGCTGACTGACCGAACCCAAAGGGTGCTCATCAATGGTTCCTCTTCATCCTGGAGAAGAGTGACTAGTGGGGTGCCACAGGGTTCTGTCTTGGGCCCGGTCTTATTCAACATCTTTATCAACGACTTGGATGATGGAGTCAAGGGCATCCTGATCAAATTTGCAGATGACACCAAACTGGGAGGGGTGGCTAACACCCCAGAGGACAGGATCACACTTCAAAACGACCTTGACAGATTAGAGAACTGGGCCAAAACAAACAAGATGAATTTTAACAGGGAGAAATGTAAAGTATTGCACTTGGGCAAAAAAATGAGAAGCACAAATACAAGATGGGGACACCTGGCTTGAGAGCAGTACATGTGAAAAGGATCTAGGAGTCTTGGCTGACCACAAACTTGACATGAGCCAACGGTGTGACGCAGCAGCTAACAAAGCCAATGCAATTCTGGGCTGCATCAATAGGAGTATAGCATCTAGATCAAGGGAAGTAATAGTGCCACTGTATTCTGCTCTGGTCAGACCTCACCTGGAGTACTGGGTCCAGTTCTGGGCACCACAGTTCAAGAAGGACACTGACAAACTGGAACGTGTCCAGAGGAGGGCAACCAAAATGGTCAAAGGCCTGGAAACGATGCCTTATGAGGAACGGCTAAGGGAGCTGGGCATGTTTAGCCTGGAGAAGAGGAGGTTAAGGGGTGATATGATAGCCATGTTCAAATATATAAAAGGATGTCACATAGAGGAGGGAGAAAGGTTGTTTTCTGCTGCTCCAGAGAAGCGGACACGGAGCAATGGATCTAAACTACAAGAAAGAAGATTCCACCTAAACATTAGGAAGAACTTCCTGACAGTAAGAGCTGTTCGACAGTGGAATTTGCTGCCAAGGAGTGTGGTGGAGTCTCCTTCTTTGGAGGTCTTTAAGCAGAGGCTTGACAACCATATGTCAGGAGTGCTCTGATGGTGTTTCCTGCTTGGCAGGGGGTTGGACTCGATGGCCCTCGTGGTCTCTTCCAACTCTATGATTCTATGATTCTATGCCGAGAATCGCTCACCCGTGCGTGTCGCTAATCCTGCCCAACTGCTGAGCATCAGCCAATCAACACCACCCATTGGTGCAGCAACCAATAACACACACAATAGCCACTGACATCCTCAGCAGGAACCAATCAAACATCCACCCTTTGCACTTTTTTGTTGTTTAGTCGTTTAGTTGTGTCTGACTCTTCGTGACCCCATGGACCAGAGCACGCCAGGCCCTCCTGTCTTCCACTTCCTCACGCAGTTTGGTCAAACTCATGCTGGTAGCTTCGAGAATAATATCCAACCATCTCGTCCTCTGTCGTCCCCTTCTCCTTGTGCCCTCAATCTTTCCCAACATCAAGGTCTTTTCCAAGGAGTCTTCTCTTCTCATGAGGTGGCCAAAGTATTGGAGCCTCAGCTTCATGATCTGTCCTTCCAGTGAGCGCTCATGATCTGTCCTTCCAGTGAGCACTCAGGGCTGATTTCCTTAAGAATGGATAAATTTGATCTTGCAGTCCATGGGACTCTCAAGGGACTCTCTGCACTACCCATGTATAAAACGACCCCCACTTTTTAGCATGATTTTTATAGAAAAGACATAGTCTTGTAGACGGAAAAGTACAGTATTTCTGTTGCTTGTAACCAAGTATAATGCTGATAATAAACCTGTCGGTTTGATGTTTGGTTAAAAGAAATCTCAAAACCATTGTAATTTCTGAAGGTTTTATAGACTTAGTTTTCAAGCGAGAGTGGTTTGTTACACAGTCACATTTAAAAAAAAAGAAAATGAAAGGTTTTTAAAGTGTGTGTCACAATTTACAGTACTTTTTGAAGATATAGGTTTTAGATTTAATGTATTCTACTCATAATCTGCCTGCACACTTCATTGTCACTTTGTATAATAATTGACTTAATTACGCCTCCTGATACTGCTCATATACTTTCCTTCAGAAGGCAATAGATTAATACCTGACCCAGTGCTTTTTTCTGGCAGTATACAATGGTACGCAGGACCACCACCTTTTTTGGGGGGAGGGTTATTGGATCCTGCCAGAGCATTGTGCCTCCTTTGTTAAGGAGGCTTGGGAAAGGAGGCGCAAAGCCGTGTCCCAGCAGACCCTGTGGTGAAAATAGGCATGCGCAGTCAGGTACTGAGAGTACAGGAAAAGGTCTGGTGTTTCAGCAAGTCATTTAATTATTGTGCATCATGTAATAACTATATACTAAGATCTCAATGGAGTTCCAGTAAAACATGTAATTGTTTTGTATGCAATTGTTTTTCCTGGCCCCAAGGAAATTTCGTCCCCAGAGCAACCGTCCAGAGTACCAGCACCATTTTTTCTAGAAAGAAAGCACTGCCTATCCCACAATCCTTTGCAGAGGTAAGAGGAAAAATGGGACTCTATGGCAGGCATGCTGTATATCTATGCAGTGCCTCACCGGAGAACAAAAAAGGAAGACAAAAGGAGACTCCGGCTTATTCTTTATAACCAAGAGAAAGGAATAACTAAAGCAACTCTGACTGTTACCTGTATTACAAGGTGAATCAGGAACACAAATTACTATGATACAACTTTAGCTAAACCTATTTCCAGGAGTAATTATTAATGTATCATAGACATTAGAGAGGTAGGGCACATGTTAGGGTTGCCATACGTCTGAATTTTCCCAGATCTGCCCTCTTTTTTGAGAGTAAAAGTTCACTCTCCAGATTTTTTGAATATGCCAAAATGTCAGGGTTGTTTTTTTGTTTTTTTTTGCAAACAAAGCCAGGAAGTGTGTGTGTGTGTGTGTGAGAGAGAGAGAGAGAGAGAGAGAGAGTATCACTCTTTTCTTTTTCCTATCTCTGTGGATGTTCCTATTTTCACCAGAGAAATATTGGAGGGCATGGGGTGCATGTCTGCAGTGCACATGTGCCGTGAAAGGTGAGGTAGCCCAGCGTCCTCTTTTTTGCTCTTCAAATTAAGACTTCACTCTCTTTCTTCTGTTCCCCACACCCAACAAACAGCCAAGACACTTCATCTGTTTCCCTGGCCCCACACGGCTAAAAAGCAACTGGATGATTGAAAGAATACCCAGTGTTATGTACTGAGTTGAACAGGATCCAAACTGCAGCAGTCTGGACTTCCGGAGGCGACGCCAGTGGTCGATGGCGGATTTCCTCGGTTAGAGGGAATCAGCGCCACGAAAAAAAGGGTCGAATCCCGCTTCGGCGCAGCGGGGGACCCCTAAAAATCACACGCGGGGGAAGCCTGTGAGCCTGGGACCCAGCGGGCACATTTGGCGCCCCCCCAACCCGGTAAAAAGCCCAGAAACGGGCTTGAAATCGGAGCGGGGGAGAGCGCTGTGCTGTGGGCTGTCTGCTCGTTCGTGGTGTGAAGCCGCAAGCTGTTGACCGGAGAGCGCTGCCTTTCTTCCTTAAAATCCGGACCTGGAAATCAACGATCCGTGAGTAGGATATAACCCAAATTGGAACTGTACAAATTGAAAATTGAAATCAGGCCGAAAACGGAAGGAGGCTTAAAAAGGAAGTCAGCCTCTTTTATTGTAGATAAATTAAAGCATTGAACTTGAAAGCGGAAGCATTTGGAAAGTACGTTTTAGTGGATTTTAATCCAATCATCTAACCTGGACTTTTCCCTCTATAAGTTGAGGGAAAAAGGGGGAGATTTTTGGAGGTGATTTCTTCATAAAGAGTGGAAAAGAAGAGATTAAACCATCACTCAATTCCCTGGGAAAGGATTTTCCAGATCCTAGGAAAGAAAGAGAGGTACTGTCTTGTAATACATTCTGACAGCTAGTCCTGCACTGGAAATAAAAGTTTGGACAGATTTTGTGAATATATATCTCCTGGTCCTAAGTTGAAAATTGTGATAGACTGTTTTCCTTCTGAACAAACTAGGGGGGCTTAAAAGGAATTTAAAGTATCCAAGAACTTTTATGACTGTTACAGTGTCCCCCTAGTGGAACTTGGAACTGTTGCAACTTGTTATAACTGTAATTGTAGCAGGCTTGAGGAGTTCTCACACTGCTTGGGAGGAAATTTCCACTGTTTAATTCTAACTACGTGTCTGACCTTGAGAATTATCTAAGGAATGGCAGATAAAGAGAAGGCGGATGCTTCGACTACAAGATCGGGGAGGCCTCTTCGCTTAGAAGAAGGATTACAAAGGAGAGCTTCGGCCTCAGGCCCCTCTGGAACCTCAACAACAGCCTCATCGGCACAATTAAAGGTAAAAAGTTCGACAAGTGAAGAAGCCTTTGCTCAAGTTTTGGCCAAAGTTAATGAATCTTTGAATAAAATAAGTCAACAAGTAGCAGAGGCTTCTGATAAGATTGACCAAAATACAATAAGTATCAATCAGAATACAGCAAGTATAAATAATTTGGGCCAAAAAGTAAATACTAACACAGAGACTATTCAGAAATTATTAGAGGAATCGGCCTCAATTCGCCAGATTGCTGAAGAGGCTAAAGAAATTGCTACAACTTCTGCTACGGATGTTAAGGAGGTTCAAGAGGAATTACCAACACTGCATAAACAATTGGAAGACCACAAACTAACTCTGTCTATGATAGATTTGAAGGAGAAGCAAGTGAATCTTCGGGTCAGATCAGTACCTGAGGTGGAAAAGGACAATTTAGCTGAATTTCTCACGCAGGAATTTTTGGACTTTTGGGACCCAGAACTGGCAAAAGACAGTTTCACAATAGTAAATGCTTTTAGACTTGGGAGAAGAGGAGAGAAGAAGGTGAGAGACTGCCTGATTACTTTCCGAACAAAAGAAGAGAGGGATAAGATTTTGGGCCTACACTTCAAGAAGACACTGGAAATCCAGCGGACAAGGGTGGAAATATTCAAAGATATTCCGAAATATCTTCTGGATCTCAGATCAAAATACAAAGACCTGGTTATCCTGCTGAGAAGGAACAACATCAATTTCAGGTGGGAACTCCTCAAGGCCTGTCTTTTAGTTACAAGGGAAAGAAGAGGAAAATAAGATCGGAAGACGATAAAGATAAATTTTACAGGGACCACGGAGAAGACTTACAAAAAGAACTATTTCCGGAACCAAAAGACCGTTCGAAAGAAGGGATACCACCGACGGATGAGGAACAGGCACTAGGTGCAGTAGGAGGAGAACTAAAACAATAACATCATGGCCCTGCAACTTTTAACATGGAACTGCCGGGGTTTGAATTCCCCTCAGAAGAGGAAGTCAGTATTTCATATATTAAAAAGGAACAATTAGACCTAATTTGCTTACAAGAAACACATATAACAAGATTACACAGGAAATTGTTGATAAATAAAAGACTTGGTCAGGAATTTATTTCGTCAGATAAAGTTAAAAAGAGAGGGGTTGTGATTTACGCAAAAGACAATTTATCACCAAAATTTGTTTTTAAGGATGACCAAGGAAGATTTGTGGCAATTGAAATTCAAACACAAGGAGAAAAATTTTTGATTGTAGGAGTTTACGCACCAAATGACGGGAAATCCGATTTTTTTAAGAAGTTGCATGAGACCCTGATGGACCATATGGATTACAACATAATTTTGATGGGAGATATGAATGGAGTGGTATCTACTTATATGGACAAGGCACAAAGACAGGTAGTCACCAAAGATGGTAGACTACCGAAAACCTTTTTTGACATGACAGACAACTTGGACTTAGTGGATATTTGGAGAATTAGAAACCCCTTGGCAAAAGAGGGAACTTTCTTTTCTGAAGCCAAAATGACTTGGACAAGAATTGACCAAATTTGGATAACTAGAGGAATGGCACCAAAGACAAGAAAGGTGGAAATCTGCCCGAAAATTTGCTCCGACCATAACGCTGTTAAGATGGAAATGAGACTAATACCAACTGGCTCCTTCAGATGGAAGATGAATGACACCTTATTTAGAGATGAAGAATTTCTTAAGAAGGCCCAAAAAACTCTAAGAGACTACTTCGAGATAAATCTTAGTTCCAACGTGGAGAAAAGAGTAATCTGGGATGCAAGTAAAGCTGTTATGAGAGGGTTCTTAATACAACAGAATGCGATAAAGAAAAGAACTCAAAATGAGAAGAAGGATAAAATTATGAACAAAATGAATGAATGTGAAAAAAGATTGTGAGTAAATCCCAAATCTCAAGAGATTTTGAGAGAGTTAAAGTTATATCAAGTACAATATATGAAAATAATGAATCAGGAAATAGAATGGAAAATTAAACAAATGAGACAAAAGACTTTTGAATCGGCCAATAAATGTGGTAAATTGTTGGCATGGCAAATGAAAAAGAGACAAAAGTTAAATACGATTACGAATTTAGAAGTGGAAGGAAGGAATATACAGAACCCTGCAGAGATTAGAAGTTGTTTCCAGAAGTATTTTAAAAGACTATACACTCAAGGGCCAGTGAAAGAAACAGACTTAGACCAATTTTTGAAAACAAATGGATTACAAAAAATATCTCAAGAAAAGAGACTAATTTTGAATGACAGAATAACGGAACAGGAAATAGAAGGTGCCATTCAAAACATGCAACTGGGTAAATCTCCAGGACCAGACGGCTTGACCTCTAGATACTACAGATCTTTAAAAGAATGGCTAATTCAACCATTGAAAGAGGTCTGCAACGAAATAATGGAGGGGAGGAGGGCACCAGAGTCGTGGAAAGAAGCATATATTACACTTGTACCAAAAACAGAGGCTGAAAAGACACAACTAAAGAACTACCGCCCTATATCATTACTCAATGTGGATTACAAAATTTTTGCAGATATTTTGGCGAAGAGATTTAAAAAAAGTGCTGTTGGAAGAGATTCATAAAGACCAAGCGGGCTTTCTCCCAGGAAGACATTTGTCTGATAATTTGAGGAATATAATTGATATTTTGGAAAAACTAGAAGTGAATATAAACACTAAAGCAGTGTTGATATTCGTAGACGCGGAGAAAGCCTTTGACAATATTTCTTGGAATTTTATGAAGAAGAATCTTCAGGGTATGGGGGTAGGCCAAGGCTTTGAGAATGGTATAAGTGCAATTTATTCAGAACAAAAGGCTAAACTAATTGTAAATAACGTTGTGACGGAAGAACTTAAAATTGAAAAAGGGACACGACAAGGTTGCCCAATTTCCCCTCTTCTTTTTATTTCGGTCCTGGAGGTGTTGCTGAATATGATTAGAAGGGACCAGATGGTTAAAGGTATACAGGTCGGAACTAAACATTATAAATTGAGAGCATTTGCAGATGACTTAGTATTGACGTTACAGGAGCCAGAATCTAGTACTAAAAGAGTTTTAGAACTGATTCAAGAATTTGGTCAAGTGGCAGGATTTAAATTGAACAAATTAAAAACCAAGGTTCTAGAGAAAAACTTAACACCGTTTGAAAGAGAGAGGTTTCAGAATGAGACAGGTTTAACAGTGGTTAAGAAAGTTAAATACCTGGGGATTAACATGACAGCAAAAATGGGAACTTATTTAAGGATAACTATGAAAAATGTTGGTCAGAAGTGAAAAAAGATTTAGAAATTTGGTCAAATTTGAAGCTTTCACTGCTAGGCCGTATTGCTGCGATAAAAATGAATGTATTGCCTAGAATGTTGTTTTTGTTTCAAACTTTGCAGATTGTGGACAAAATGGACTGTTTCAAGAGGTGGCAGAAAGATATTTCTAAATTTGTCTGGCAGGGCAAGAAACCCAGAATAAAATTTAAAATACTAACAGATGCAAAGGAAAGAGGTGGATTTGCCCTGCCAGACCTCAAACTTTATTATGAATCAGCAGCTTTCTGCTGGTTGAAAGAATGGCTACTTCTTGAAAACACTGACATTTTGGACTTGGAAGGTTTCAATAATGTATTTGGATGGCATGCATATTTATGGTATGATAAGGTCAAAGCACACAAAGCATTTAAAAACCACATTGTCAGGAAAGCGCTATTTAATGTTTGGATAAGATATAAGGATTTGCTAGAAAATAAAACCCCAAGGTGGCTGTCACCAATGGAAGCGAAAGCCTTGAAAAGGGTCAATATGGAGGTCAAATGGCCGAAATATTGGGAAATTTTGGAACAAGACGGAGATAGACTGAAATTGCAGAGTTTTGAAAAACTAAAAAACAAAGTGCGAGACTGGCTTCATTATTATCAAATAATGGAGGCATTTAAATTGGACAGGAAAATTGGCTTCCAGGTGGAAAGATCAAAATTAGAAACAGAATTGTTAGAACCCAATACTAAGAATTTGTCAAGAATGTATAACTTGCTGCTGAAATGGAATACTCAAGATGAAACGGTAAAATCGGCTATGATTAAATGGGCACAGGACGTAGGACATAACATTATGTTTGCTGACTGGGAACAGTTATGGACCACAGGTATGAAATTTACGGCATGTAATGCCTTAAGAGAGAATATTATGAAAATGATATACAGGTGGTACATAACCCCAGTCAAGCTTGCGAAAATCTATCACTTGCCCGATAACAAATGCTGGAAATGTAAAGAAATTGAAGGTACATTTTTTCACCTTTGGTGGACGTGCCCAAAGATTAAGGTCTTCTGGGAAATGATATATAATGAATTAAAAAGGTATTTAAGTATACCTTCCCTAAGAAACCAGAGGCCTTTCTCCTGGGTATAGTCGGCCAAATGGTGTTAAAAAGGATAGAACTTTCTTTATGTATGCAACAACAGCAGCAAGAATACTCATCGCAAAGTATTGGAAGACACAAGAACTTCCCACGCTGGAGGAATGGCAGATGAAACTTATGGACTATATGGAACTGGCTGAAATGACTGGTAGAATCCGTGACCAGGGAGAAGAGTCGATGGAGGAAGACTGGAAGAAATTCAAAGACTATCTTCAGAAACACTGCAAAATTAAGGAATGTTAGAGTGATGTTGGACTGAAAACAAGTGGTTTCCAGCTGCACAGGTTAAAGTTATGGAAATTTGATATTAAAAGGGAAAACTTTAAAGTTATATGATATTAAGACCAAGGACTAGGTTTAAAAAAATTGAAGTTATATATTTTAACATTTTACTAAATTAAAGATTGGGATTAAAAAAAAGTGGAAAAGAAATTGCTGAACAAACAATGTGGACTGGAATACAAAGGAGGGAGGTTTGAGGAAGTCTAGAAAATAAGTCACGTAAAATTGGAAATGGAAAAGAGAGTTTGTTTTTAATTGTTGTGTTTTGTGTTTTTATTGTTAAGTTTTGTATTATTTTTATGTGAGTTTTTCTGTTGTTTTTTGTGTTATATTGTTTTAAACTTTAATAAAAATTAAAAAGAAACAAACAAACTGCAGCAGTCTGATTGGTCCTAGAACAATAGGATTCAGAATTCAGCAGTCTGATTGGTCCTAGAACAATGCAGCAGTATGATTGGTTGGCAGGAACCACCCAATCATGCTCCAGATATAAGTGAATCCACAACCTGATTGGCTTACAGTAGAATTCCAGAATTAGCCAATCATGTGCAGCCCATTCTGTAAATAATGTATATAAAGCAGATACTTTGAGGGGGACTTTCATTCATTCCCCCTCACCACTATGAGCTGAATAAAGAGCATGAAATCACTTTGCGACTCTGAGTATATTTCACTGGCGATGAAGGTGGGATCCCGCTGAGCTGACTGCCACACACAGCACCGCAGCACCGCCACCTGCCGCACCGCTGCCTCGCACCGTGTATCCAGGCTTCAGCTCCGGGACACAAGGAACTCAGAATGGCAACCGACAGCAGCTTCTCGCCGTTCAACCCAGCATCTGGAGACTGGGAAGCGTACACCTCCCGTTTCACCTTCCTCCTAGAAGCCAAAGGGGTCACCGATGAAGAAGACGCCAAGAAGAGGGCGATATTCTTTTTTTTATATATATATAAATATTTATTAAGGTTTTTACAGTATTACAAAATGAAAAAGAAAAAAGAAAAAATACAAAATAAAAATAGTTAAAAACAATTCAATCTTTCCATCACTTATCTTTCATTTGCTTGTTTCCTGGACCTCCTCATACCTCCCTTTTTTGTATTCCAGTTCAATTTATTAGTTCAGCAATTCCTTTCCCTCCTTATTTTATCCTGATCTTTAATCTTAAAATATTATAGCATTAAATTTTTGCCTATTAAAAATCCATTTTTTCATATTCTTTTATACCATTACAGCTAGAAACCACCTAACGTCAATCCAACATCATTCTAACATTCATTAATTTTGCAGTATTTCTGTAAATAGTCTTTAAATTTCTTCCAATCGTCTTCCACCGACTCTTCTCCCTGGTCTCGGATTCTACCAGTCATTTCCGCCAATTCCATGTAGTCCATCACCTTCATCTGCCATTCTTCCAGAGTGGGTAGGTCTTGTGTCTTCCAATACTTTGCAATAAGTATTCTTGCTGCTGTTGTGGCATACATAAAGAAAGTTCTATCCTTCTTTGGCCGACTATGCCCAGGAGAAAGGCCTCTGGTTTCTTCAAGAAGGTATATTTAAATACCTTTTTCAATTCATTATAAATCGTCTCCCAGAAAGCCTTAATCGTTGGGCACGTCCACCAAAGGTGAAAGAATGTACCTTCAGTTTCTTTACATTTCCAAGATTTATTATCGGGCAAGTGATAGATTTTTGCAAGCTTGACTGGGGTCATGTACCACCTGTATATCATTTTCATAATATTCTCTCTTAAGGCATTGCATGCCGTAAACCTGTGGTCCATAACTGCTCCCAGTCAGCCATCATTATGTTATGTCCAACATCTTGTGCCCATTTAATCATAGCAGATTTCACCGTTTCATCCTGAGTATTCCATTTCAACAGCAAGTTATACATCTTTGACAAAATCTTACTTTTGGGTTCTAACAGTTCTGTTTCTAATTTTGATTTTTCCACCTGGAAGCCAATTTTCTTGTCCAAATTATATGCCTCCATTATCTGGTAATAATGAAGCCAGTCTCGCACTTTGTTTTTTAGTTTCTCAAAACTCTACAATTTCAATCTATCTCCATCTTGTTCCAAAATTTCCCAATATTTAGGCCATTTGACCTCCATATTGAGCTTTTTCTGAGCTTTCGCTTCCATCGGTGACAGCCACCTTGGGGTTTTATTTTCCAATAAGTCCTTATATCTTATCCAAACATTAAACAATGCTTTCCTGACAATGTGATTTTTAAATGCTTTATGCGCTTTGACCTTATCATACCACAGATATGCATGCCATCCAAATACGTTGTTAAAACCTTCTAAATCCAAAATGTCTGTGTTTTCAAGAAGCAGCCATTCTTTCAACCAGCAAAAAGCTGCTGATTCATAGTAAAGTTTAAAGTTTAAAGTCTGGCAGGGCAGTTTATTTATTTATTTATTTATTTATTTTATTTATGTCTGGCAGGGCAAATCCACCTCTTTCCTTTGCATCTGTTAGTATTTTAAATTTTATTCTAGGCTTCTTGCCCTGCCAGACAAATCTAGAAATATCTCTCTGCCACTTCTTGAAACAGTCCATTCTTCAGCATCTGCGGAGAGGAGATGTTTGAAATCGCCCGGGCTCTCCTTGCACCTGAAGCCGTCGCTACTGTTCCATACAAAACAATAATGGAACAGCTGAAGGGGCACTTTTCGCTGCAGCCCTCAGTGGTGGCTCGTCGAAATGCCTTCTACGCAAAGTGGCAAGCCCCTGGGGAAACCATAACTGGGTTTGTGACCTCTCTCCGCCAAGCCGCCCAGTTCTGCAACTTCTCAGAGCTGGAGAAGATGCTTTGGGACCGCCTCATCGGTGGCCTGAAGGATGAGAAGCTGCAACGACGCCTCTACGCTAAGAAGGACCTAACGTTCCAGGTCGCTCTGGAGGAGGCGCTGACAACGGAAGCTGCCAAGAGGTCGACGCAAGAGGCACAGCCGAGCCTGCCATCCCAACCGAGGGTCCACCACAAAGACCTCACCGACGACTCAGGATCTGACAGGGAGGAGGTGCACCGAGTACAGCAGTGCACTCAAGCAGCCCACATACCACAGCTGCCTCGACAAGAAGGAGGGAACTGCGCAAGCTGCGGGGAAAGTCATGAGAGGAGGACCTGCCGTTTCCGCAACACAGAGTGCAGGCAGTGCAGAAAATCAGGACATGTTGCCCGGGTGTGTCGAGCTCGGCCCACCCGACGCCAGGCATCAGATGACCAATCCAAGAGCCCCAGGTCCCAGGGCCCAACGCACCAAGGCAACTCGACGGAGCTCACGGACTTCCAGGTATACCAGTTGCCCCACACCAACGTAGAGAAAATTTATGCAGAGGTACAGATAGAAGGGGCCCCATGCCGCATGGAGCTTGACACGGGTTCAACTCTATCCATAATCTCGGCAAGGACCTTAAGGAAACTGTGTCCTACTGGGGGTCCCAAACTCAGGCCGGCCCCATTCACCCTCCGGGACTTCCAGAAATGTAAGGTCCCCACAATGGGGGTGGGGACCTTCAGGGTGCAATACCGAGGGCGGACGCGGCAACTGGACTTGCTTGTGGTCAAGGGCCCCTACATTAGCTTACTGGGATTGGCATGGTTTGGACCACTGGGGCTAGCCATCAGTGGGGTGAACCACACTACCTTACAAGTGGACGTGGACACCATATGCAAGGAATTTCCAGGGGTTTTCGATGGGAAATTGGGACAGTATACGGCCCCCCCCATTGCTCTACAGCTTGACCCCGCAGTACGACCGGTCAGGCTCAAGGCCCGCCGGGTCCCGTTTGCCCTGAAACCCGGTATAGACGAGGAATTGGACCGGCTCGTGGAGCAAGGAGTGCTGGAGCCGGTGCCTAATGCCCCCTGGGAAACCCCAATCGTCATACCCGTCAAGCCTAATGGTTCGGTCCGCATCTGCGCAGACTACGAATGTACCATAAACAAGGCCCTCACGGCCCATGCATACCCAGTGTCAGTGGTCAGCCATGTCCTTGCCACCCTGGCTGGGTCGAAAATTTTTGGCAAGCTGGACTTGGCCCAAGCATATCAACAGCTGCCAGTAGATGAGGCCACAGCAGAGGCACAGACGATTGTGACACACAGAGGAGCGTTCAGGGTAAAGCGGCTGCAATTCGGTGTCAGTGTGGCACCAGGCATATTCCAGAATCTAATGGACTCGCTCCTTAAAGGGATTCCTGGCGTCACCCCCTTCTTCGATGATGTGTTTATTGCCGGGGCCCACACCAGAGGAGTTTGAGGACCGCCTCTGCACCATTCTGCACCGTTTCCAGACGGCGGGTCTCAAGGTGAAGCGGGAAAAATGTCTACTAGGAGTGCCTCAGGTGGACTTTCTGGGATTTATGGTGGACGCAGAAGGGGTCCACCCGACTGGGGACAAGGTACGGGCCATTTGTGATGCCCCAGCGCCCAAGAGCAAGACTGAACTTCAGGCCTTCTTGGGACTATTGAACTTTTACCATTCCTTCCTTCCCCACAAGGCGGCGGTAGCGGAGCCCCTACACAGACTCCTGGACAGCGAGCCCCTTGGGTGTGGGGCCAGCGCCAGGAGGCTGCATTCCAGGCAGTCAAGGACTTGCTTGTCTCAAACTCGTTTTGGCACACTTCAACGAGAGGCTGCCGGTGGTGCTAGCATGCGATGCCTCGCCCTATGGCATTGGCGCTGTCCTGGGACACCAACTCCTGGATGGAAGAGAGGTACCGGTAGCATACTTTTCCCAGACACTCAACGCAACCGAGCGGAACTACTCGCAAATAGACAAGGAGGGGCTGGCAATCGTGAAGGGAGTAAAAAAATTCCATGATTTCTTGTACGGGCGGCCCTTCACCGTGGTGACTGACCACAAGCCGTTGCTTGGCTTGTTTGCCCACGAAAAGCAGACCCCCCAAGTGCTGTCTCCTCGCGTCCTCAGGTGGTCAATTTTCCTTGCCAGCTACCAGTATGCACTGATTCACCACCCGGGGAAGGCGATGGGCCATGCGGACGCCCTCAGCAGGCTACCACTACCGGAAACAGGCCCCGACCCAGCACCTGCACAAGAGGTTATGAGCCTGGAGCTGCTTCCCGACCGCCCCATTCAGGCACAAGAAGTTGCACACCATTCCAAGAAATATAGGGTTATCTCCCGGGTCCTGGACTGGGTGTGGCGGGGATGGCCCAGCAGCAGCCCTGGGCCAGAATTCGCTGGCTACACAACCCGCAAACATGAACTGTCGGCCCACAAGGGGTGCCTGTTATGGGGAAGCAGGGTCGTTGTTCCCCAGCCCCTCCGCAAAAGGGTCCTCACAGCCCTACACGAGACACACCCAGGGGTAGTAAGAATGAAGGCCCTGGCCAGGAGTTATGTGTGGTGGCCGGGGATCGACGGAGAGATAGAGGCCTGGGTCAAACACTGCCAGGCCTGCCAAGAATCCCGCCCAGATCCCCCAAGGGCCCCAGTCCAGTCCTGGGAGTCCGTCCGAGCACCATGGTCACGCCAGCATGTGGACTTCGCTGGCCCCTTTCAGGGGAAAACATTCTTCATAGTGGTGGACTCCTACACCAAATGGCTGGAAGTCGCACTGGTACCGTCCACTTCTACATCCGCAGCCATCCGGGTACTATGCAGGCTGTTTGCAACCCACGGGCTCCCTGACACTCTCGTCTCAGACAACGGGACTGCATTTACGTCAGCAGAATTCCAAACCTTCTGCGCAGAATGCCATCCGCCACATCCATTCGGCGCCATTCCACCCTGCCGCCAATGGCCAAGCAGAACGCATGGTGCGGACCACCAAGGACACCCTTCGCCGCATGACGCAAGGGGATTGGGAGTACCGCCTTGCCACATTCCTCCTAGCACAGCACAGCACCCCCAGCTCAACGACTGGCCGGAGCCCTGCTGAACTACTAATGGGTCGGCGCCTTGCAATTAGATTGGACCGCCTTCACCCCGATAGAGCTCAGGATGAGGTAGTGGTGGGGGAAGGCAGGAACCCCCGGACCTTCGAGGCCCAGCACCCAGTGTACGCAAATAATTTTGGGGCAGGCCCAGCATGGGTACCCGCCACAGTCACCCGGGTCACTGGCCCCGTGTCGTACGAGGTGGTAACGGATGGGGGGCAATGCTGGCGCCGCCACTGTGACCAAATACGGCGACGATTCCCGGGAGAAAACCAGGAGGAGGAAAGGTCAGAGGAGTCCCAAGGGAACAGAGGGGCAGTGAGGCCCATAGAGCAGGAGGGGCCAGCAGGAGAGGCAGAATCAGTAAATACAGAGAGGACCCGCGAGGCCGAAAGGACACCGGAACCAGAACCACGACTGAGCGAGCCGGTTGCGCCAGACCAAACAGGCCCATCACAGCCAGCATCCTTGGAACACGAGCCAGAACCTGAACCCCAGACCAGGGAACACCACAGGCCGCAACGCACACGTAGGCCGCCGGCGTACCTCGAGGACTATGAATGCGACCTCCCGGGCAAGACTGGAACTTAGAGGGGAGGGGTGTTATGTACTGAGTTGAATAGGATCCAAACTGCAGCAGTCTGATTGGTCCTAGAACAATAGGATCCAAATTGCAGCAGTCTGATTGGTCCTAGAACAATAGGATTCAGAATGCAGCAGTCTGATTGGTCCTAGAACAATGCAGCAGTATGATTGGTTGGCAGGAACCACCCAATCATGCTCCAGATATAAGTGAATCCACAACCTGATTGGCTTACAGTAGAATTCCAGAATTAGCCAATCATGTGCAGCCCGTTCTGTAAATAATGTATATAAAGCAGATACTTTGAGGGGACTTTCATTCATTCCTCCTCACCACTATGAGCTGAATAAAGAGCATGAAATCACTTTGCGACTCTGAGTATATTTCACCTAACCAATAAGCAAAGAGACAGTCTTTACAGTAGGGATCTGAGAGAAGCTGGTGAAGAGGTGGGTTTCTTTTTTCTCTTTTGTCTGCTTGCTTACTTTTGCAAGCTTGGTTGTGCTACAATGCCCTTCCTTGTTCAAAAGCTGGCATGGATGGTGATGGGCAAGGAGTCTCCTCCGTGGTGGGATGGAGGTCTCAGCCAATGGGAAGGGGAAAATGACTGTACAGTTTCAGACTCAGCAGAAGCTGGACTTTAAGCAACGTGCAAGTAGCCTGTTGGAAAGTGGTTGAAAAAAAGCCCTGACTGTACTAGAGAAAAGTGAAGCAAGTCTGTACCTGTGCCTGTGTGCCTTAAAATCAATGCATTTAGGATTCCGTGCAGAAGGCCCCCCCCTTGAGCCCCCACAGAGGCTCCTGCTCCCTCCTCAGGATTTTCTAGACCAGCTCCCCTCACTCAGAGCCCAGGGCTAGACTTCCTCCTCCTCTTAGCTCTGAAATGGATGTGCCAAGGAAGGTTTGCTTGCATCTCCACCCTTTGGACCTTGTAGGGCTTTATGGGGCTGAGTTGGGCAGGAAAAGAGATCTGAGCCAATTTGCCCTAAAATAAAGAGCTCCTTATCCAAAGCAAGTTGACAGCCAGAATTATATCTGGCTTTATACGCCATGCTGTAATCTCTCATCAACCAGCCTTTGATGACAGGCAAATCAATATGCCATGATTCCCCCTCCCCCGCTGCATTATAAATTCCCAGTGTGAGTGGGGTTAGGGTTAATGGATTGGAAAAGGATTTTGTTCACAGTGGTGAGATTGCTATATGCACAAAGGTGGAAGGATACAGCCTTACCCACTATAGAAGAATGGCTGATAAAACTATTGGACTTGGCTGAGATGGCAAAGTTAACGTGTTTAATTAGAAAAAAGTAATTACTGATATTTCTTAAGGATTGGAAAGTTCTTATGGACTTTTGTGTGAAAGAGAAAATGAACTTGTAATACCTGGATTTGAAGATTGAAAAAATACTGGTTTACAAAAATATAATGGTTGGATTTAATGAGTGAATACTCTATTTGGCTGCAGGACAGAGAGCTGGAAGTTGTTTTAACTTTCTTCATCTTCAATCTCCCCCCCACCCACCCCTCTCCTCTTTGGCTTTCTCTCTCCTTAGGTTTTTCTTTTCTTTTCTTCTGTCTGCCCTTTTTTTTTTTTATATTAAGTAGCTGTTTTAATTCAGCATATTATAAAATATGCTTTATGATGGGTATTTCTGTATATCTTTGAATAAGTATCAATAAATGATTATAAAAAGGGCAAAAAAGAGAGAATTTATAACACAGAAATTTGTGAAGAAATTATGGTACAATCTATCATGACCCAGAGATGTCTCATTATTATATAACCTCTGAGACTATTCTGCTGTTTACATCTAATCTTCTGTTTTATTATTTTCTATATGGAAATACTCAATAATATGTACAAAATGTGCATAAAATGAAGACACCCAACCAAGTAATTGTGCGTAGTTCAGCTACCTCTTTTCAGTTTAAGCTTGAAGTGATATCTTTCTTTAAACTCCTACTAGAATTGCTTGTATTTTCTCTCCTTATTTTCTTTGTCTTAATCTGGCACATATGAAAGGTTATTTTCTGTGGCACTCACACTTGCTAAAACTTAATAGGAAAAATCTTTGTAAGCAGCACCATGGTATCAGTCACCGATGCAAGCAGTAATTTTGTGCCCAAAAGCTGTCTGATACCCTTTTTTGGAAGAGATGCCCTGCTGATAAGGAAATTGGAAAGTCTCAACACATAGGGGATAGGGGAGCTGAAAATAAGGCTGCTATTTCATATCTGGCAACCAATGCACCCCTTTGGTTTCCAATGGTACATGGGTATAGGTAAAGGTAAAGGGACCCCCGACCATTAGGTCCAGTCATGACCGACTCTGGAGTTGCGGCGCTCATCTCACTTTATTGGCCGAGGGAGCTGGCGTACAGCTTCCAGGTCATGTAGCCAGCATGACTAAGCAGCTTCTGGCGAACCAGAGCAGTGCACGGAAATGCCATTTACCTTCCCGCCAGAGCGGTACTTATTTATCTACTTGCACTTTGACGTGCTTTCGAACTGCTAGGTTGGCAGGAGCAGGGACTGAGCAATGGGAGTTCACCCAGTCGCGGGGATTCGAACCGCCAACCTTCTGATCAGCAAGTCCTAGGCTCTGTGGTTTAACCCACAGTGCCACCCGCGTCAGTACATGGGTAGATGATTCTAAAAAGCCTGGGACACAAATTTTCTCCTCTAAGTTGAATATTATTGTATTTGAAATTTGTTTGTTTCTCATTCTTGTACTGATGTGTTAAAATTACAGTTATGCCTGATGGGTGCCCTTATCATTGATTAAAGGTGGGGAGTGGGGATGGCATTTTTATGGTCATATTTGGCGGGCGGGGGTGTCATACTGATGGAGGCTTAGTTTGGTCGGAATGGTGGTCTTGACTATGCTACCACTCAGTGGATTTGTAACTGGCTGACTGACCGAACCCAAAGGGTGCTCATCAATGGTTCCTCTTCATCCTGGAGAAGAGTGACTAGTGGGGAGCCACAGGGTTCTGTCTTGGGCCCGGTCTTATTCAACATCTTTATCAACGACTTGGATGATGGAGTCAAGGGCATCCTGATCAAATTTGCAGATGACACCAAACTGGGAGGGGTGGCTAACACCCCAGAGGACAGGATCACACTTCAAAATGACCTTGACAGATTAGAGAACTGGGCCAAAACAAACAAGATGAATTTTAACAGGGAGAAATGTAAAGTATTGCACTTGGGCAAAAAAAATGAGAGGCACAAATACAAGATGGGTGACACCTGGCTTGAGATGTCAAACTCAGCCAAGAGCATAAGGTCAAACAAATTCCTCACTGGCCTTGCAGACAACTTCATTGTCCAGAAAGTGGGAGAAGCAACAAGAGGAACAGCCATTTTAGATCTGGTCCTAACCAATGTTGATGACCTGGTTAGTGGGGTAGAAGTGGAAGGATCATTAGGCGCGAGTGATCATGCTCTTCTGAAGTTTACTATACAGCGGAAAGGAGCAGCCAAGCATACTAGGACTCAATTTCTTGACTTTAAGAAAGCTGACTTCATAAAACTTAGGGAAGTGCTGGGTGAGATCCCATGGACAGTAATACTAAAAGGAAAGGGAGTTCATGATGGCTGGGAGTTTGTTAAGAGGGAGATACTAAAAGCACAACGTTAGGCAATACCAATGAGACAGAAACATGGAAGGTGCCTAAAGAAGCCAGGGTGGCTATCTAAAGAACTTTTAACTGAGTTAAGATTAAAAAAAGATGTGTACAAAAAATGGAAAAGGGGGGAAACCACCAAAGAGGAATTCAAACAAATAGCCAGCATGTGTAGACACAAAGTCAGAAAAGCTAAAGCACAGAATGAACTCAGGCTTGCTAGAGAGGTTAAAAGCAACAAAAAAGGCTTTTATGGGTATGTCCGTAGCAAAAGGAAGAACAAAGAAACAGTGGGGTCACTCAGAGGAGAAGATGGTGAAATGCAAACAGGAGACACAGAAAGAGCTGAACTCCTCAATGCCTTCTTTGCCTCAGTCTTCTCCGATAAAGAAAACAATGCCCGACCTGAAGAATTTGGAGCACATGATTCAGCAAAGGAAACACAGCCCAGAATAACTAAGGAGATAGTACAAGAATACTTGGCTAGTTTAGATGTATTCAAGTCTCCAGGGCCAGATGAACTGCATCCAAGAGTATTAAAAGAACTGGCAGATGTGATCACAGAACCACTGGCAGTCATCTTTGAGAATTCCTGGAGAACAGGCGAAGTCCCGGCAGACTGGAGGAGGGCAAATGTTATCCCTATTTTCAAAAAGGGAAAAGAGAGGACCCAAATAATTACCGCCCAGTCAGTCTGACATCAATACCAGGGAAGATTCTGGAGCAGATCATTAAGCAAACAGTCTGTGAGCACCTAGAAAGGAATGCTGTGATCACCAATAGTCAGCATGGATTTCTGAAAAATAAGTCATGTCAGACTAACCTGATCTCGATTTTTGACAGAATTACAAGCCTGGTAGATGAAGGGAACGCAGTGGATGTAGCCAACCTTGATTTCAGCAAGGCATTTGACAAGGTGCCTCATGATATTCTTGTAAAGAAGCTGGTAAAATGTGGTCTTGACTATGCTACCACTCAGTGGATTTGTAACTGGCTGACTGACCGAACCCAAAGGGTGCTCATCAATGGTTCCTCTTCATCCTGGAGAGGGGTGACTAGTGGGGTGCCACAGGGTTCTGTCTTGGGCCCGGTCTTATTCAACATCTTTATCAACGACTTGGATGATGGACTCAAGGGCATCCTGATCAAATTTGCAGATGACACCAAATTGGGAGGGGTGGCTAACACCCCAGAGGACAGGATCACACTTCAAAACGACCTTGACAGATTAGAGAACTGGGCCAAAACAAACAAGATGAATTTGAACAGGGAGAAATGTAAAGTATTGCACTTGGGCAAAAAAATGAGAGGCACAAATACAAGATGGGGGACACCTGGCTGGAGAGCAGTACATGTGAAAAGGATCTAGGAGTCTTGGTTGACCACAAACTTGACATGAGCCAACAGTGTGACGCGGCAGCTAAAAAAGCCAATGCAATTCTGGGCTGCATCAATAGGAGTATAGCATCTAGATCAAGGGAAGTAATAGTACCACTGTATTCTGCTCTGGTCAGACCTCACCCGGAGTACTGTGTCCAGTTCTGGGCACCACAGTTCAAGAAGGACACTGACAAACTGGAACGTGTCCAGAGGAGGGCAACCAAAATGGTCAAAGGCCTGGAAACGATGCCTTATGAGGAACGGCTAAGGGAGCTGGGCATGTTTAGCCTGGAGAAGAGGAGGTTAAGGGGTGATATGATAGCCATGTTCAAATATATAAAAGGATGTCACATAGAGGAGGGAGAAAGGTTGTTTTCTGCTGCTCCAGAGAAGCGGACACGGAGCAATGGATCTAAACTACAAGAAAGAAGATTCCACCTAAACATTAGGAAGAACTTCCTGACAGTAAGAGCTGTTCGACAGTGGAATTTGCTGCCAAGGAGTGTGGTGGAGTCTCCTTCTTTGGAGGTTTTTAAGCAGAGGCTTGACAACCATATGTCAGGAGTGCTCTGATGGTGTTTCCTGCTTGGCAGGGGGTTGGACTCGATGGCCCTTGTGGTCTCTTCCAACTCTATGATTCTATGATTCTATGAGAGCAGTACATGTGAAAAGGATCTAGGAGTCTTGGTTGACCACAAACTTGACATGAGCTAACAGTGTGACACGGTAGCTAAAAAAGCCAATGCAATTCTGGGCCTCATCAATAGGAGTATAGCATCTAGATCAAGGGAAGTAATAGTGCCACTGTATTCTGCTCTGGTCAGACCTCACCTGGAGTACTGGGTCCAGTTCTGGGCACCACAGTTCAAGAAGGACACTGACAAACTGGAACGTGTCCAGAGGGGGGCAACCAAAATGGTCAAAGGCCTAGAAACGATGCCTTATGAGGAACAGCTAAGGGAGCTGGGCATGTTTAGCCTGGAGAAGAGGAGGTTAAGGGGTGATATGATAGCCATGTTCAAATATATAAAAGGATGTCACATAGAGGAGGGAGAAAGGTTGTTTTCTGCTGCTCCAGAGAAGCGGACACGGAGCAATGGATCCAAACTACAAGAAAGAAGATTCCACCTAAACATTAGGAAGAACTTCCTGACAGTAAGAGCTGTTCGACAGTGGAATTTGCTGCCAAGGAGTGTGGTGGAGTCTCCTTCTTTGGAGGTCTTTAAGCAGAGGCTTGACAACCATATGTCAGGAGTGCTCTGATGGTGTTTCCTGCTTGGCAGGGGGTTGGACTCGATGGCCCTTGTGGTCTCTTCCAACTCTATGATTCTATGATTCTATGATTCTAGTGTATAGACTTCCAGAGTTAATGCTAAAGACATTACTTCTGGTAAGTGAGCCACCATACCCACTAGAGGACCATGAAAATTTGTGTCCTGGGCTTTTTAGACCCATCTACCCATGTACTATCAAACCAAAGTGGTTTATTGGTTGCCAGCTCTCCTCCCCACTAATATGGACAGATAAAAAACTAGCAAGACCTAAACTTGCTACTGTATGAAACTCTTTTAACATATTAGTACTTAGTTTAGGTGAAGCTTCTGGCAGTAAATTTCATTAATCAGATTTCTGATGAATCTACTTATTTTATTTTTTTATTTATTCAATTTATATACCATCACAATATCTTGAAAAATTTCATTAGGAACATTGTTTCATTCTGAAAAATACATTACTTATTACGAAAGGGTTTTTTCCTACCTTCACAAAGCATGAATACACCAATTAGACAAATAGGGATTAAAGTTTGGTTGAGTACAATGGCACATGGTTTAACTCTACAGTACTATATAAAAATGACCAAATGCCTGGATGATTGAAAGAATACCCAACCAATAGGCAAAGAGACAGTGTTTTGTGGGACTTGGGACTTCACTCTCTTTCTTCTGCTCCCCACACCCAGCAAACAGCCAAGACACTTCATCTGTTTCCCTGGCCCCACACGGCTAAAAAGCAACTGGATGATTGAAAGAATACCCAACTAATAGGCAAAGAGACAGTCTTTACAGTAGGGATCTGAGAGAAGTTGGTGAAGAGGTGGGTTTCTTTTTTCTCTTCTTTTGTCTGCTTGCTTACTTTTGCAAGCTTGGTTGTGCTACAATGCCCTTCCTTGTTCAAAAGCTGGCATGGATGGTGGTGGGAAAGGAGTCTCCTCCGTGGTGGGATGGAGGTCTCAGCCCCCCCATTAAAACGTATACCCCAATGTACAATGATACATTGTCACTAACAAGAACTTCAAAGGCATGTTAACTTCCAGTAATTCAGAGTGGCCGTGGGGTGAAGCATGTGCAAGGAGCAAAGGTGATGAAAGGTGTTTCGTTTCAGGTAAAGGACAAGCCAGGACTCAAGATGCATCTACATTTTGACAGAAGGAAGGAATCAAAACAAAAACAGCCAAAGGGTGTGTAGTGATCACAGGATTAAAACTAGAAGATCCACCACAAGCCACATAATTATCTGTCGCCTCAGAAAGGGACAAATAACCTTTTAAAATCACCAGCAAAATATACTTTCGCAGCTAAAGCTTTTGTGTTCCCTCCCATGTGAATGTTCAGGAGGTATGCTGCCGCTGGGTTCACTCATATGGAGGAGGAACCATTTGCGGCAACTGGAAACTCCCCTGTGACTGCACAATTATGGATTTTCTTTTCCAAGTTGCTGTAGATGGGAACCAGCCTTATAGAAAAATGTGCAATGGGCTATAAAACTTAATTCATTTTTTCAACTGACAGGTCAGGAGGTGGTCATACCCCAACCACTGGTGGGTTGCACCTCTGACACACTTCTTTCAGAGCTGTGTAAAAGATGCTTTGGTGTGCATGGCCTTTTTGACAAGTATCAACTGCAAAAATTACTTGTCCTAAACAAGTGTTGCAAACAGGAGTGCTGCTCTCTTTTGCAGCTGGTCACCCTAAAACAGGATTGGGGCACCTGCAGCCTTCAGGTGTCCCTGGATTCCAACTTCCATTGGCTCTGGATGATGGGAGGTTTAGATGAGAGGTACATCTAAGGGTCACCCCACCCTAAAGAGAATGAGAAAAGCTGGAATAAAATGTGGTAATGTTTGTGGTAAAGGCAGGTCCAGAATCTGAAAAAGTTGGTGCTTAGTCTAGCTGTTCCTAGTCTAGTGCCCCTCTATATTCAGGTATATAAAAACAGAGGTATTTAAAACTGACTGAAATCTATGCTTTCTCTTCTGATTTAAGGCTTTTAAACCTCACCATTCCTGCTTAATGGACATTATTTCCCAGGAGTCCAAAATACAATAAGACCTGCCCAAAGGTTTATTTAGAGAAAGGAGAATAGTGCATTAAATCAAGCTTATAAGAAATCACATACAACTGTGGCATGATGACAACAATGACAAAACCTTTCTGTCGAACCACTGGTGAGTCACTACCCAGGAAGTGTGTGGGTTCAGGGAACAGCTGTAGGTGGCTGACCGTGGACTGGGGCTCCTATACTGCCAACCACCTGCCCTTGTGATAGATGTGAAAAAGGAAAGGAGATCACAGAGCAGCTGTACAAAAGGAAGCAGCCAAAGGACAGGAAAAAAACCATATAGAGTGAGTTCTTGAGTTCTTGAGTATGACAAGCTGCAGGAAAGCTTGTTTCAGAAAATAACTTCATAACCAGAGTTTATATAAGGATTTTCAAAGATACCATTTTGAGCTATGTTTCTTTACTCAGTGATGTGCTTTAGTAGAGAAATAACAATGCCAGTTCAGTGCTCCTGAAGCTCCCATAAAATATGTTACTATCTTCTGTTTTATTTCCTCCTTTCAGACAGCAGCCAAGAAGTATGTTGCAGTGACAGCATCTTTGACAAACCCTGCTCTTTGTTTTTTTCTTTTAAATAATTTTTATTAAGGTTTCAATAAAAAGTTGAACAGAAAAAACATAAAGAAGAAATACACAAATACACAATACAAATCCCAGAAAAAGAAAACAAAAACCAAAAAACAAAAAACAACAACAAAAAAAGAAACAGAACAATTAAAAACAATATCACCTTTTCATTTCCTTTTTTTAAATTTACTTATTTTCTGGACTTCCTCATACCTCCCTCTTTTGTATTCCAGCCCAAATTGTTTATCCAGCAATTTCTTTTCCACTTTTTTAATCCCAGTCTTTATTCTTAGTGTAATATAGCATTAAAAATTTACCTCTTAAGTACCAAATTTCCCTTTCCTTTAACTTATTTACTCCTAATCTTTAATCTTAGTCTGTCGTATAATTTTATCCTGTACAGCTGGAAACCACTTATTTTCAATCCAACATCACTCTAACATTCTTTAATTTTGCAATGTTTCTGTAGGTAGTCTTTGAATTTCTTCCAATCTTCTTCCATCGCCTCTTCTCCCTGGTCACGGATTCTACCAGTCATTTCCGCCAGTTCCATATAGTCCATCAGTTTCATCTGCCATTCCTCCAGTGTGGGAAGTTCTTGTGTCTTCCAATACTTTGCGATGAGTATTCTTGCTGCTGTTGTTGCATACATAAAGAAAGTTCTATCCTTTTTAACACCATTTGGCCGACTATGCCCTGGCGAACGGCCTCTGGTTTCTTAGGTAAGGTATATTTAAATACCTTTTTTAATTCATTATATATCATTTCCCAGAAAGCCTTAATCTTTGGGCACGTCCACCAAAGGTGAAAAAATGTACCTTCGGTTTCCTTACATTTCCAACATTTATTATCGGGCAAGTGATAGATTTTTGCAAGCTTGACTGGGGTTATGTACCACCTGTATATCATTTTCATAATATTCTCTCTTAAGGCATTACATGCCGTAAATTTCATACCTGTGGTCCACAACTGTTCCCAATCAGCAAACATAATGTTATGTCCAACATCCTGTGCCCATTTAATCATAGCCGATTTTACCGTTTCATCCTGAGTATTCCATTTCAGCAGCAAGTTATACATTCTTGACAAATTCTTAGTTTTGGGTTCTAACAGTTCAGTTTCTAATTTTGATCTTTCCACCTGGAAGCCAATTTTCTTGTCCAATTTAAATGCCTCCATTATCTGGAAATAATGGAGCCAGTCTCGCACTTTGTTTTTTAATTTTTCAAAACTCTGCAATTTCAGTCTATCTCCGTCTTGTTCCAAAATTTCCCAATATTTCGGCCATTTGACCGACAAACCCTGCTCTTTGTTCTCCCTTTTGTTCCTCCTCTGAATACTGTGGGGCAAAGATTTCTGAAACACATTGATATTTGCCTCACATAAATAAAATATTTCAGCAAAATGGATACAGTATACAGAGGGCAGGACAGAGTCTTTAGATTTGGCCTTGGAAAAAACCTTAAATACATTCTGATGGAGAGCTATAATGTCCTTGCTATTTATTCTTAATACAAAAGAGCATCATGAAAGCTCTTGCCAGAAGGCTTAAGAGGTCACCAGACCACTGGCTGAAGTAAGGCAACCTCCCACATTTAATAGGATGAATGTGCAACAATGGATGCAACTGGGTATTATAGGTAGCGCTTCTTGGATTTGGTCACTTGAGCGTGAAACAGCTGTGATGGATAAATCAGGCCCAGTTCAATCCCTTTCAGTTTCCTGTTTAGAATCAATTTTAGTTTACTGCAATGTCTGAATCTGCAAGCTTTGGCTAATAATTACCTTCCAGATTTTTTAAAAAATTGAAGGCTAAGTATCATACTAACCATAGTATGCCAGTTCTGATTTACTGCCTAAAAGTTGTTCACATCACACAGGAAACTGAAAGGGAAGCTTGCATTCAGGAAATGGGGAAGGGAAGGGAAGGGAAGGGAAGGGAAGGGAAGGGAAGGGAAGGGAAGGGAAGGGAAGGAGGGAGCCTGCAAGCCTGTGAACTGTTTTCCATCATCAGAATTATGATGAATGGAGCCACCGATTTGTGGCACTGCCTACACTACCCATTTTGATAAGAGCCCAACTAACCCAGAATCCAAGTGGGAATGGGTGGGATTTGGCATGGGTTTCAACGATACCTGACATATTTTACGGTCTTTCTTACTGTGCATTTTAAACTAGGGTAGGCAGATCTCAGAACCACTGGCAGTCATCTTTGAGAATTCCTGGAGAACAGGCGAAGTCCCAGCAGACTGGAGGAGGGCAAATGTTGTCCCTATTTTCAAAAAGGGGAAAAGAGAGGACCCAAATAATTACCGCCCAGTCAGTCTGACATCAATACCAGGGAAGATTCTGGAGCAGATCATTAAGCAAACAGTCTGTGAGCACCTAGAAAGGAATGCTGTGATCACCAAGAGTCAGCATGGACTTCTGAAAAATAAGTCATGTCAGACTAACCTGATCTCGTTTTTTGACAGAATTACAAGCCTGGTAGATGAAGGGAACGCAGTGGATGTAGCCTACCTTGATTTCAGCAAGGCATTTGACAAGGTGCCCCATGATATTCTTGTAAAGAAGCTGGTAAAATGCGGTCTTGACTATGCTACCACAGTGGATTTGTAACTGGCTGACTGACCGAACCCAAAGGGTGCTCATCAATGGTTCCTCTTCATCCTGGAGAAGAGTGACTAGTGGGGTGCCACAGGGTTCTGTCTTGGGCCCGGTCTTATTCAACATCTTTATCAACGACTTGGATGATGGAGTCAAGGGCATCCTGATCAAATTTGCAGATGACACCAAACTGGGAGGGGTGGCTAACACTCCAGAGGACAGGATCACACTTCAAAACTACCTTGACAGATTAGAGAACTGGCCAAAAACAAACAAAATGAATTTTTACAGGGAGAAATGTAACGTATTGCACTTGGGCAAAAAAAATGAGAGGCACAAATACAAGATGGGTGACACCTGGCTTGAGAGCAGTACATGTGAAAAGGATCTAGGAGTCTTGGTTGACCACAAACATGACATGAGCCAACGGTGTGACGCGGCAGCTAAAAAAGTCAATGCAATTCTGGGCTGCATCAATAGGAGTATAGCATCTAGATCAAGGGAAGTAATAGTGCCACTGTATTCTGCTCTGGTCAGACCTCACCTGGAGTACTGGGTCCAGTTCTGGGTACCACAGTTCAAGAAGGACACTGACAAACAGGAACGTGTCCAGAGGAGGGCAACCAAAATGGTCAAAGGCCTGGAAACGATGCCTTATGAGGAACGGCTAAGGGAGCTGGGCATGTTTAGCCTGGAGAAGAGGAGGTTAAGGGGTGATATGATAGCCATGTTCAAATATATAAAAGGATGTCACATAGAGGAGGGAGAAAGGTTGTTTTCTGCTGCTCCAGAGAAGCGGACATGGAGCAATGGATCTAAACTACAAGAAAGAAGATTCCACCTAAACATTAGGAAGAACTTCCTGACAGTAAGAGCTGTTCGACAGTGGAATTTGCTGCCAAGGAGTGTGGTGGAGTCTCCTTCTTTGGAGGTCTTTAAGCAGAGGCTTGACAACCATATGTCAGGAGTGCTCTGATGGTGTTTCCTGCTTGGCAGGGGGTTGGACTTGATGGCCCTTGTGGTCTCTTCCAACTCTATGATTCTATGAAATCTATACATCTTATGTGTCATATCAAGAGTCTGTCCTCCTCAGCCAAGTCCAGCCTGGTGATACAGCCTCACCTGAGGCTACTCAGGCCTCCTAGATTTCTTTGGTTCCATCCTCTATATAAGGAAACAGGAACAGCAACTGTTAGGCTGGCCAATAGCTTCAGTTAGGATCCAGCTTCTCCCAGAACTTCCCCTATCACTGGTCACACTCCCTGGCTGCATCTGAGTTGTAGGAAGTACTTTGTATGCTGAAAAGTAGGTTAAACTATAAATTAATTAATCAAATAAATACAAACCTATAGATAAATTAAAAAAAATAAAAAATTGTCCAGTAGCACTTTAAGGTAAAGGTAAAGGGACCCCTGACCATTAGGTCCAGTCGTGGCCGACTCTGGGGTTGCAGCGCTCATCTCGCTTTATTGGCCGAGGGAGCCAGCGTACAGCTTCCGGTTCGTGTGGCCAGCATGATGAAGCCGCTTCTGGTGAACCAGAGCAGCGCATGGATATGCCGTTTACCTTCCTGGCAGAACATACCTATTTATCTACTTGCACTTTGACGTGCTTTCGAACTGCTAGGTTGGCAGGAGCAGGGACCGAGCAATGGGAGCTCACCCCGTTGCAGGGATTCGAACCGCCGACCTTCCGATCAGCAAGCCCTAGGCTCAGTGGTTTAACCCACAGCGCCACCCGCGTCCCTAGAGACCAACTAAATTTGTTCTGGGTATAAGCATCTGTGTACATGCACACTTCATTGTAAGAAGTGTGCATGCACATGAAAGCTTATACCCAGAACAAACTTAGTTGGTCTCTAAGGTGCTACTGGACAATTTTTAAATTTTTTTTATTTATTTCAACTGTGTCAGACCAACATGGCTACCTACCTGAATCTAAAACCTATAGACGTTCCATCTATGCTTTATAGCAAAGCTAATTTTAATCCAGGACGTGGGTGGCGCTGTGGGTTAAACCACAGAGCCTAGGGCTTGCCGATCAGAAGGTTGGCGGTTCGAATCCCCATGACGGGGTGAGCTCCTGTTGCTCGGTCCCTGCTCCTGCCAACCTAGAGTTCGAAAGCACGTCAAAGTGCAAGTAGATAAATAGGTACCGCTCCGGCAGGAAGGTAAACGGCGTTTCCGTGCACTGCTCTGGTTCACCAGAAGCGGCTTTGTCATGCTGGCCACATGACTCGGAAGCTGTACGCCGGCTCCCTTGGCCAATAAAGAGAGATGAGCGCCGCAACCCCAGAGTCGGTCACGACTGGACCTAATGGTCAGGGGTCCCTTTACCTTTACCTTAATTTTAATTCAGTGTTCTGTAGGAAAAATTTCTAGGGAGATACAAATTCATTTGAGCTGTTTAAAGGCCACTGGGTGACAAGAAAACTTAAGCTGTTGTTTGTGAAGGTTGATTGGGGACTAGCAATTTGGACAGTGCTGCAACAAATGAATTCGTAAGAAACCACAGGTATTAACACTGTCAACCATGAAAATGTGATTAGGAGGGGTAAACTGATGTTAGCGATGCAATCACCACACCATGCTGGTAGGGGACTGTAAACTGGCTAAGCATACTATGAGATTTATCCTAGAGGATGTGACATTTAATAATGAAGAGATAATAAATTAATAATACCAAGTGTCCTACAGTGTCTTCCTCAGATCTCTTCATGAACATTAATTAATTCCCTCGTTAAGCAGTTAGGCAGATAAATGCTCAGCAAGCATCCTATTATTATTATTTAAAAAACAAAAAATACCCACACCAATAAAAACCAAGAATTATTAGCATATTTTATGGAAGATAAAGAAAATAGACTGCAGAGAGGTTAGAAATCTGGGTTGACTGTGATAGAGGCAGTTTTGATGGGTGAGATTCAAATTAAGAGTGATTTAAGATATGAAGTGTAGACTGAGGGATAGTGGATACAATCTAAGTCTTGTACTTTGATTGGGGAGGCACAATTACTCTCCAGCCAGATAAGCCTACACACTTGTAGCATAATGTGATATGGGTACTAAAAGTGCTGTACCACATTTCCTCTGGTTTCAATTTTCAGGTAGAAATTAGAAATATTAATGGGGTAGAAATTCTACCCTGGATATAAGGTTGCCTGTTATGTTCTCTTTGGTGGTCTGGCTGCAGATTTTTTAAAAGATGCTATTCTTTTGGGGCAGCTGTCCAAAGAGGGCTCACTCATCATCCTGGGTTCATCATCATCTTGGGGGAAAGTGGCAAGTGGGCCTGTTGTCATTCAATGTCTTTATAAATGACTTGGATGAAGGAATTGAAATTTAAATTTGCAGGTGACACCAAACTGAAATGGCTGGCCAATGCCACAGAAGACAGAAATAGAATTCAAGTTATTGGAGAATTGGACCAAAACTAACAAAATAATTTCCATAAGGATACATGTAAGGTTCTGCACTCAGGCAGGAAGCTTAACATGAGTCCACTGCAAGAAAACTAATGCCAGTCTGCACCGACAGAAGTCAAGTGTCCCGACCAAGGGAAGTAATAGTCCCCCTCTATTCCCTGTTCTGTTTTGGGCACCACAATTTCAAAAGGATATTGACCAGCTGGAACATGTGCAGAGGAGGCCAACCGAGGGCGGGTCTGCACTCATGGTTTATAACATTAAGGGAGGGCTAAGGTATGATTTTCATCACATAACATTTTTTGTTTAGTTGTTTAGTCATGTCCAACTCTTCGTGACCCCATGGACCAGAGCACACCAGGCCCTCCTGTCTTCCACTGCCTCCCGCAGTTTGGTCAAACTCATGTTGGTAGCTTCAAGAACACTGTCCAACCATCTCATCCTCTGTCGTCCCCTTCTCCTTGTGCCCTCAATCATCCCAACATCAGGGTCTTTTCCAGAGAGCCTTCTCTTCTCATGAGGTGGCCAAAGTATTGGAGTCTCAGCTTCACGATCTGTCCTTCCAGGGAGCACTCCGGGCTGTTTTCCTTCAGAATGGATAGGTCTGATCTTCTTGCAGTCCATGAGACTCTCAAGAGTCTCTTCCAGCACCAGAATTCAAAAGCATCAATTCTTCAGCGATCAGCCTTCTTTACGGTCAAGCTTTCACTTCCATACATCACAGCAAGGTGATGCAGCATTAATACTGCATTATTAAGATGTGACACCTGAGAGAGCTGCAAAGCAACCCTTAAGCTGCAATAGGGTAACTGTGTTGTTAAAGGAAAGGAACATTTTTAATTTACCAGTATGCCCTGCGATGTTTTAGAATGAGTTATCTAATATTGTTCTAATAATGTTTAAAAGGTCAGTGTAGATCCAGCCCAAGATGATCAAGGGTCTAGAAACCAGACCTTATAAGGAGTGGTGAGGGAAATGGGTATGTTTAGTATAGTAAAGAGGAGACTAAGAGGAGATATCTAAGCTATCCTGAAATATGGAAGATGGCTTCAAGTTACAAGAAAGGAGATTCCAGCTAAACACCAGGAACAACTTTCTGATGGTAAGGGCTGTTCAACAATAGAGTGGACTCCTTTGGAAGGTGGTGGACTCTCCTTCCTTGGAGATTTTCAAGCGGAGGTTGGATGACCACATGTTATGTATACTTTAGTTGAGATTCCTGCATTTGTAGGCTTTTGCAGCCACACTGGTTTCTTTAGATGCTTCCCACTTTTTTCTTGTTGGAATTGTCAGCATTTGTGCCTTCAGTATTTCACCTTTTAAGAAACTGCCAACCATCTTAAGCTCCCTTCTCTTTGAGTATTTCTGACCATGGGATCTTTTCCCGTAGTTCCTTGAGCTTTTATAAATTGGTCTTCTTAAAGCCCAGAGTTCCCTTGGCTCTGTATCATGAAACCCAGGGCATAGTCACTTCACCCCAAGTTTCCCAGTGCTTCAACTTTATTGATCAGTTCCTCCCTGTTGGTGAGGACCAGGTCCAAGATACATGATTCCCTTGTTGCTTTTTCCACCTTCTGGGAAATGAAATTGTCAGCTCAAGCAGGGAGACCACTGGGCAGTGATGCGGGTAGTATACTAGCAGAATCCTTATTCTGTTCCTAGTGCCCACACACTCTAGATCCCCTACAGCTGGACAGAGAGTCTGGAGAGAGAAGGGGGGGTTCTCTATAGACCACAGCAACTCCCTCTCCCCAGCCCTCAAGCCTGCTCTGATGCTGCCCTGAGTACACAGGTGGGCACAGCTGAGTGAGATGAACTCCACTCTGCTCACTCACCCATGTCTCTGATTCAGACCAAATCACCCTCAATATCCACAATAAGATCATGGATGAAGGAGGTCTTTCTCAACAACAGCAGCTGCAGACTCAAGGACTGGCTGACAGAACCACAATTCCCCAGGTTGGAAGAGGGGCTGGCACACAGCACAAGTCACCAACTGTCTGTGCCATGTGCCCCTTACCTCACCTGTCCCACCCCATACCTTCCCCTTCCCTGAACCATTGTGATTGGGGACTCCCTGGTCTCCCCATTTCCTCTCTTTCCAACACACCCCACAAACCCCACAGATTTAAAAATATGCAAGTTGAAAACAGTTGAAAACATTTTAAAACATTTTAGACAATTGGGGGCATAATAACAAAATTGAAACTAACTAAAGAATACCAGCCTCAGCTTTCCTAGCTGCAGTCAGTTGGCAGCTCTGCCCTCCTAGACCAGGTGGAAGAGGTCCCCAAGACTCACAGCTGAGATGGTCTTCTGTTCTTCATTGAAACAATTGCCATGAAATAGCTGATCTGATCATAGTGAAGCACTTTGGAGGCAGTTCTTATGTTACTGGCACCTCCTTTCCTGTGTCTTTTCCTCAGTGTTTCAGTAACATTTGACATCCAGGAACCTTTTTGGATTGAGTGAAGGATGGGTTATGTGGTTTCTTCTGATGTGGCTAGCTCTCTGCCACTGCAATAATGGATATATGTATTTCCTATGTGCAATCCTATTCATATCTGCTCAGAAGGAAGTCAACTCTGCTAAAAGGAGTTTACTCTTAGAAAAGTGTACATAAGCCTTTAGTCTTAAAATCTATAACAACAACAACAACCTGTCTTCAGTTCTGTATAGTAATAGGATGGTTTCACAGGATTGTATGAGAGTGAATTAAAAGGGCTTTATAAATAATAATGCATTCATCAATATATACTGTTCAGCAGAAGAATGCAAGACTTGAGATTTGGTGACTAGCAGCACAATCTTGTTCACGTCTACTCAGAAGTAAGTCCACTGAACTGAATGAAACTTCCTCTGAGGTAAATGTGTACAGGGTGTGTGTCTGTGTGTGTGTGTGTGTGTGTGTGTGTGTGTGTGTATTTGTTAAAAATTCCTTATAATATGCTATTGGGGGGGGGGCTTATACAAATAAGCAAAATCTATCTAGATTGGAATGTGACCAGGAAGCATGTTGATACACCCTTGTGAGCGAAGCTGTTGGGAGTCTCGTACTCCCAGCAGCGTCACTCAAGGTGGTAAGGTTAAAGGCGAGGAGCTAGAAAAAGAATGATCCAAGAAGTCCTCAACAGTAGAGAAAAATCTACCGGTTGCCGTGATTACCCATGCCATCGGAATAGAGTGTTACTGCAAAGACTGTGCATTGGTCAGCATGCACTGATCTACACACATAAAACAAATTCACGCACAGGCGTCTTCCAAAACCCCATCCCAAACCCAACCCCCAAAGTCCCATGGCAATCAGCAAATGGTAACGGGGGCAGGATCATGAGATCTGGAAGCCCCTAGGGCTGGCACATGGATGGTGGATATAGATTCAGTCACTCTGACTCAAGGTATGAGGCAGTTGAACAGCTCGGCAGTTGTATCCATGGCTGAGCAGCCCTTTTTAGGATCTACTCTGCTCACCCTGAAAAAGGGGGGGGTCTAGGAAAGGCGCCCTAAACATAGTCTGTCTCCCTTTCCCCCTGACTGGATTACTGCGCCCAGTGGGGTCACCACCCAGAAGTCGGAAAAGACAATTGAAGTTTGGAACATGGAATATACAGACTTTGTCAGATAACACAGATAATGAGCGTCCCGAACGCAGAACTGCCATCATTGCAAGAGAGCTGTGATTTTTTAACATTGATATTGCAGGGCTTTAAGAAACTCGAAGAGCAGGTGAGGGACAACTGAAGAAAGAAAAAGGAGGCTACATATTCTTCTGGAAAGGGCTACCTGGACAAGAACATTGAATACATGGAATCATAGAATCATAGAATCATAGAATCATAGAGTTGGAAGAGACCACAAGGGCCATCGAGTCCAACCCCCTGCCAAGCAGGAAACACCATCAGAGCACTCCTGACATATGGTTGTCAAGCCTCTGCTTAAAGACCTCCAAAGAAGGAGACTCCACCACACTCCTTGGCAGCAAATTCCACTGTCAAACAGCTCTTACTGTCAGGAAGTTCTTCCTAATGTTTAGGTGGAATCTTCTTTCTTGTAGTTTAGATCCATTGCTCCGTGTCCGCTTCTCTGGAGCAGCAGAAAACAACCTTTCTCCCTCTTCTATGTGACATCCTTTTATATATTTGAACATGGCTATCATATCACCCCTTAACCTCCTCTTCTCCAGGCTAAACATGCCCAGCTCCCTTAGCCGTTCCTCATAAGGTATCGTTTCCAGGCCTTTGACCATTTTGGTTGCCCTCCTCTGGACACGTTCCTGTTTGTCAGTGTCCTTCTTGAACTGTGGTGCCCAGAACTGGACCCAGTACTCCAGGTGAGGTCTGACCAGAGCAGAATACAGTGGCACTATTACTTCCCTTGATCTAGATGCTATACTCCTATTGATGCAGCCCAGAATTGCATTGGCTTTTTAGCTGCCGCGTCACACTGTTGGCTCATGTCAAGTTTGTGGTCAACCAAGACTCCTAGATCCTTTTCACATGTACTGCTCTCAAGCCAGGTGTCACCCATCTTGTATTTGTGCCTCTCATTTTTTTTGCCCAAGTGCAATACTTTACATTTCTCACCGTTAAAATTCATCTTGGAGTAGGCTTTGCTATCAAAAACAATCTTGTGAAGCTCTTGTTAGAAGTCCCTAGCAGCATTAATGAGTGACTTTCAATCCTTTGAGTAAAACTCACCAAAAACCAACATGCTACTATTCTAAGCACTTATGCACCAGCACTGGATGCCGATGAAGACAAATAAGGATTTTTTTATTCTCATCTGGATAGCATCCTATCATAAATGCCTAAGGAGGATAAAATTATCCTCCTGGGTGATTTTAATGCAAGAGTTAGATGAGATTTCGATCTGTGCCATGGGACTATTGGGAAAGGAGGAGCTGGCAACAGCAACCAGAACGGAATCTTTACTTTTGACGATATGTGCAGCACACAACCTTGTTATCACCAACACACTTTTTTGACAAAAAAGTAAATTAAAAACATCATGAAGGCACCCTCGGTCAAACCACTGGCACCTCTTAGACTATGTAATTGTCTGAGTTGAAGATTGCCATGATGTGCTCCTTACCAGAGCTATGACAAGTGCCAATGACTGCTGGACAGATCACCTATTAATACGCTCCACAATGGCTATCAAGATTATACCTCAACACAGGCTTCAAGGAAGGAAACCAAGGCGCAAAATGATCACTCAAGCCCTTCAAGATCCTATTAAGTGGGACTGCTTCCAAACGACTCTTAAGGACAATCTGCTTTCGGAATTCCCTGATAACATCGAGGAACACTGGACCAAGCTAAAAACATGCATTATTGCAGCCTCTGAACAAACTATTGGATACCAAACCGAGAAACACTAGGACTGGTTTGATGAAAATAACAGTGAGATTGAACGCATTATTGATAAGAAAAGGAAACCCTTTCAGATCTGGCAAAGAGATAGAAACTGCACCACTCAGAAAAAAAACCCCTATGCCAACACTAAAGCTGAGGTTCAAAGAAGAACCAGAGAATTAAATAATACCTGGTGAATAAAGCTCAAAGATTCAGCACTTAGCCGACACTCAAGATGCACAGAGTTTCTTTAAAGCCACAAACCATCTATGGGCCAATAAATCATGGCATATGCCCCCTACGCTCAACAGATGGTACCACACTTCTAAAAGATAAAGAAGCTATTGCACTGTGCTGGAAAGAACATTACCAGCATCTCCTTAACTGCAACTCCCCCGTAGCTGCTGAGGTCCTGTCACAAATTCTGCAAAAACAAATTAGAGATGAGCTTGCAGTATCATCAAACCTGGGTGAGATGTGTACAGCTATTAACCAAATGAAAAACAACATCAGGGACCTGATGGGATTTTGAGGTCTTCAAAGTGGGTGGAATTGAGCTTGCACAACAACTTCACAAGCTCATCGAAAAAATATGGGAGAGGAAATTCCACAAACTTTAGGGATGCCAAAATCAATCTTTTTTAAAAAGGTGACAGAATGGATTGAGGAAACTATCAAGGCATCTCTGTATTAGCTGCGGACGGCGAAATTCTTGCAAAGATCTTAGCAAACCATCTCTTAACAATATCTGAGGCAAAATAGTTTTTGACCTTCTAGGGGGACAGTGGACATGATTTTCTCTGCTCAACAGCTTCAAGAAAAATGCAGAGAGCAAAATCAGTCCCTGTATATGGGTTGACCTGACTAAGGCTTTCAACACTGTAAATCGTAATGCCCTGTGGATTGTCCTTCTGAAAACTGGCTGCCCAGATAAATTTGTGAACATCATTTGGTTTCTCCATGGTAATATGACAGCTACAACTGCAGATAACAATGGCTCTCAAAGTGAACCATTCACAGTGGGATAAGGTGTTAAACAGGGCTGCGTTATCGCCCCAACTCTATTCATTATTTTCATTGCCATGATCCTACACTTTGTCGAAGGGAAACTCCCCTCTGGAGTAGAAATCCTGTATCGAACAGATGGAAAGCTCTTTAATCTGAGCAGGCTGACAGCAAAGAATAAGATCACTGTAACTTCCGTCATAGAGCTTCAGTATGCTGATGACAACATAGTGTGCGCACACTCAGACGATGACCTCCAAATCATCCTAAATATCTTCGCAGAAGCTTACTAAAAGCTTGGCCTATCGCTCAACATCACAAAAACCGAAGTGCTACACCAACAAGCACAAAACAACTCCTCTGCAGAGCCACAAATCCAACTCAATTGGAAAATGTCAATCACCTGGGCAGTTATCTTTCCACAAGGGCTGACACTGATGCCAAAATCCAGCATCACCTGAGCTCTGCAACTGCAGCTTTCTCCCGATTGAAGTGCAGAATGTTTGAGGACCGGGACATTCGTAGGGAAACCAAAATGCTTGTTTACAAAGCTATTGTTTACAAACCTCCTGTATGCTTGTGAAACGTGGACCACTTATAAACACCATCTCCAACTCCTTGAAATATTCCATCAGTGGTGTCTCTGAAAAATTTTACACATCACTTGGGAAGGCAGGTGTCGAAGCAGTGACTTCAACATCAACTTTGTTGGACTGGTCATGTTGAGTGGGTGCCTGATTATTGTCTTCCAAAGCAACTACCCTACTCTGAACTCAAAAGATGGAAGCCTAATGTTGGTGGTCAACAAAAGAGGTTTAAAGACTCTCTCAAGGCATATCTTTTAAAATGTAGTATAAACGCCAACAACTGGGAAACACTGGCCTGCGAGCGCTCCAATAGGAGAACTGCCTTTATCAAAGGTGTCATGGGCTTTGAAGACACTCGAACTCAGGATGAAAGGGAGAAACATACTAAGAGGAAGGCATACTTGGCAAACCCTCACCGTGATCAGCTCCCGCCCGGAAACCTATGTCCCCACTGTGGAAGGACATGTGGGTCTGGAATTGGCCTCCACAGTCACTTACGGACTCACTACTAAAACAATGTTTTGGAAGACAATCTTACTTGGCTACGAGGGATCACCAAAGAAGAAGAGACAGACAAAATTTTGGGTCATTTCTGAGATGCTCATCTGAAAGTTGGCAGGATGCATTACGGCATCACTGGAAAGAGAGCCTCCAACTGAATCCCTAAAGGTAGTGGTTTCTTCTACTGAATTAATTGATTAGCTTTGAAAAACAGCCCTTTTGGGGGGAATGATAATGGCTTTAAGCCCTATTTTCCAGGACCTATTCTAAATTACTCAGAGCTTTCCTCACCATAATGATTATAGAGTTAAACATTACTGAAGCTGCATAAGCAAAGTAGTGGCAATAACCAGTACAAGGAATAAAAGTCAAAATAAAAATAATAAATAAAAAAATGTCCTGTAGCACCTTAGAGACCAACTAAGTTTGTGCTGGGTATAAGCTTTCGTGTGCATGCACACTTCTTCAGATACACTGAAACAGAAGTCACCAGACCCTTGTATATAGTGGGAGGGTGGGGTGGGGTTTTTCTCAGAAGGGTAGTAGGAGATGGGTGATTGATTCTGTTCCGATAGATTTATTGCTTTATTGTTTGGTGCCCAGCCACGCTTCCCTGCAAGCCTCTGCAGCTTCTGTTTACGCAGTGTGGCTTTGAAGCGGTCGTAAAGCAATTAGCAGAATTACACAGCGGCGTGTGTCGAAAAATCAGTTAACAAGTCCCACACGTTTCTTCTGTCCTAATATCCCTTTATTTGCACAAAAGTAGTGTATTTACAATCCATAACAGCCATCAGATTCAAGCTGCATTTTCTCTGCGTCCTTCTCTCTCAGTGCAGCGACACAACAACCTGCTTTCGCTTTCCACTCAGCTCACAGCATTCCAAGCTGCTTTCGTCACGTCCTGGCTTACTTCCCTTGTAAGCGCCTCCTCTCGGCCTCGAGACACAGAAGGTGTCTTCACTACACCCAACAGATTCAAATGGCTTTGGCAATTAGTCCTACAGGAAAAAGCAAGGGAGAACAGTATGCAGATAACAAAAAATAGCTTTAGCATGTGTAATGAGATAAGAATCCAATATCTCTATTCAGACCAGGTCTCTCCATAGTTTTCAGTTTGGTAATAACTTGTAATTCAGCAACTTCTCTTTTAAGTGTATTTCTGAAATTCTTTTGTAATAAGACAGCTGCTTTGATATCCTGTATTGAATGTCCTGGGAAATCTCCTACTGGCTTCTCAGTCTTGTGATTCCTGATGCCAGATTTATGTCCATTTATCCTTTGGATAGGGACGCGGGTGGCACTGTGGGTAAAACCTCAGTGCCTAGGACTTGCCGATCGTATGGCCGGCGGTTCGAATCCCCGCAGTGGGGTGAGCTCCCGTCTTTCGGTCCCAGCTCCTGCCCACCTAGCAGATTGAAAGCACCCCTAAGTACAAGTAGATAAATAGGTACCGCTTTATAGCGGGAAGGTAAACGGTGTTTCCATGTGCTGTGCTGGTGCTGGCTTGCCAGAGCAGCTTCGTCACGCTGGCCACGTGACCTGGAAGTGTCTTCGGACAGCGCTGGCTCCCGGCCTCTTAAGTGAGATGAGCGCACAACCCTAGAGTCGGACACGACTGGCCCGTACAGGCAGGGGTACCTTTACCTTTTATCCTTTGGATAAACCCTGCGCCAAAGCTCCTGAACAGCTCTGTCAGTTTTTTTTGAATGTTTAGTCAGCATCTCCTTTCTTGTAACTTGATGCCATTGCCTCGAGTCCTACCCTCCAGAGTAGGAGAAAACAAGCACGCTCCCTCTTCCATGTGACAGACCTTAAGATATTTAAAGATGGCTATCATTTCTCCTCTCACACCCCTATTTTCAAGGCTAAACATACCCAGCTCCTTCAAGTGCTCCTCCTAAGGCTTGGTTTCCAGACACTTGATCATTTTGGTTATCCTCCTCCGCACACATTCCAGGATATCAACATCCTTCTTAAATTGTGGTGCCTAGAATTGGACACAGTATTTCAGGTGTGGTCTGACCAAGGCGGAATAGAGTGGTACTGTTACTTCCCTTGATTGGAACACTATACTTTTATTGATGCAGCATTAACTTTTTTGCTGCTGCTGCATCACACTGTTGACCCATGTTAAGCTTGTAGCCCACCAAGACCCCTAGATTCTTTTCACATGTACTGCTGGTAAGCCATCCTATATTTGTGCATATGGTTCTCCCTGCCTAAATGCAGAACCTTACATTTTCCCCTATTGAAAATAATTTTGTTAGCTTACACCCAGTTCTCCAATTTGTTAAGGTCATTTTGAATTCTGATTCTGATTTCTGCATCATTAGCTACCCCTCCCAGTTTGGTGTCATCTGCAATTTTGATGAGCATCCCCTCAGTTCCTTCATCCAAATCATTTATAAAGATGTTGAACAACAACGGGCCCAGGACAGAACCCTGCAGCACCCCACGTTACTTCTTAGCCTTCTGTTCTCCCAAAGACATCCCACAAGGCAGTAGAGATTTAGGTCAGTGTTTTCCTTCTCCCAGATAGGCTGTGTATGTGGCTGCATAAGGTGCTTACAGATGAGCTGAGATTTAAGAAGGACATGTATAATAAATGGAAGAAAGTATAGAAGGAGTATGCACAACCAGACAACAACAGTTTAAGGGAGAAGGCCAGGTGGGCCAAAGCTCAGAATGGGCTCAGGCTTGCAAGAGAGGTTAAAAATAACAATGAAAGTTTCTTTGGCTATGTTTGAAGCAAGAGGAAGAACAAGCAAGAAGTAGGCCCTCTGCATGGAGAAGACAGAGCAATGCTGTTGGATGGCAGAGAGAAGATGGAACTGCTCAGCACCTACATTGCCCCTGTCTTCACCCAAAAGGAAAGCAGTGCTCAACCTGGTGATAACAAAATAAATGGTGCATAGAATCATAGAATGGTTGAG